CCCATATGGGCTACCCCACTACAGCCTAGACAATATGCAGCACATATAGTTTGACACACCCCCATAGGCAAAGTGGGGGAGAACAAGGGGTCACACGACCAGTCAAGAGAAGCAAAACAAGCTCAGGGTGGATCACAACGTCACCACGCATTCCGAGCACAAGCAAAAGGCCACAGGGCCAGTTCACATGCAGAGATATATATGCAGCAATAACAGTACAGTGATGGCTACCTAGCAAGAGCCAGCATGCATATATATATATAGATCACAGTACAAGCAGAGACTACAGCAAGTGTGGAAACGTAGGCACAAGGCCCAACAGAGTACAAAAGCGCTGATGATCACCAGACGGAAGTGCCTTGGTGAATATATCAGCAGTGTTGGCCCGAGTGGCCACGTGGCGAAGACGAAGCTGGCCTCGCTGCTGCAACTCTCGAGCCAGGAAGTAACGCAGAGCAATGTGCTTCGTTCTGTGCTCCAGTCTGTGCTCCTCACACAAGGCAATGGCGGCCTTGTTGTCGACGTACAGCACTGGAGGAGAACGAGGCTGCTCTCCCAAGTCAGTCAGCAGGTAGGTGAGCCAGCGTAACTCTTGTGCAGCCATGGCTGTAGCGTAGATCTCAGCCTCACAACTGGAGCTGAGAACTGAAGACGAACGTGTAGAACGCCACGAAACTGAACCAGAGCCAAGGCTAAAGGTGTAACCCTGTGACGACCGCTGAGTAGCCTGGTCGTCAACCCAAGAAGCGTCTGAGTGTCCAGTGAGGACAACTGGGCTCGTCCCTCCAAGCACTAGCCCCATGCCTGATGTGCTGCACAAGTAGCGCAGTACCCTCTTAGCAGCAGCCATGTGCTCAGGTCGGTGCCGACCAGGAGCCACGTAGCGAGCCAGAAGACCAAGAGGGTACGCGAGGTCAGGTCGAGTGCAAGTCATCAGGTACATGAGGCAGCCGACTAGCTCTGGGTAAGGACCACTCGGCTCTATGGACTCGTCCGAAGGTGGAGCTGAGAGCGTGTGACCTGTAGCCAGAGGAGTGGCCTGTGCTGAAGACCAGGTGAAGCCGAAGCGCTGAAGGACCTGCTGCACCATGTGTGACGGAGTCAAGGTGATGGTGCGGCGTGCTCTGTCCCGGGTGATCTGCAAGCCAAGGTAGCTGCGCAGCTCACCCAAGTTTGTGCACGTGTGTCTCTTCTGCAGCTCCGACTTCACGTGGGCGAGAGCCTCAGTGTCAGCAGTGGCAAAGACCAAGTCGTCGACGTACACGAGGATGTAGAACGGCGGCAGTGAAGTGTCGGTGCGGTAGGGAAAGAGACGGTAAAAGGGAACCGACTCGTCGAACGTGACGTCCTGAGACGCAAAGACACAGCGCGAGGTGGGGTGGTAAAACTGCCAACCAGGCGCATCAGGGACAAAGCCAAGGAAGACACAGGGAACAGCGCGGGCGGAGAGCTTGTCCGCGGTGGTATCGCGGACAAAGGCACGAGCACCCCAGACCCGGAAACGCGACGCATCGCCAACCTTCCCCGTCCACAGCAGTGTGGGCGAGGTCTCCGGCAAGGAGACACGGGGCCAGAGGTTGAGCTGATGCGCGGCGTACCGGACCGCAAACGGCCACAGGAAATGGGGGGCAGCCGCATGGATCATGGAGGTACGAGCGACCTCCATGACTAAGCCAATGCGGCGCTCAGCAACCCCATTCTGCTGTGGAGAGGCCGGAAGCGTGAACGACTGGGTGATGCCGTGCTCCGCACAGTAGGCTGCCAAGAGGTCTGAGGAGAACTCACCACCTCTGTCAGAGTGCAGACGCAGGACAGGAAAGTCCCGCCGGAACCGCTCGCGGAGCTGGAGACGAACAGTGCGGATCCAAGGGATCAAAACATCAGGGACGTCCCCCTTGCTCTGCAAGGGGAAGACCGTGGTGTAACGCGTGTAGTCGTCGACGACCAGCAGGAAGTACCGCTCGCGGCCCTGTCCCTGGACGCGGGCTAGGCCCCACACGTCCAGGTGGAGCGTCTGCAGTGGAGCCTCTGTGGGAGGAAACGAGGAGGAGTGAGGAGCGGCACGCTGCCGCCCCTCGACGCAAGGAATGCAGGGCGGCGCAGGCGAGGGAGGGAGGGCAGGCAGAGACCTGGGAAGACCAGAGACCAGGGAGCGAGAGTGCATGCTACGCAGGCGAGGCAAGGAGGGGTGACCAAGGCGGTGGTGCCACAGGAGAGTGTCGTGCGACAAAGCGCGACACTCGCAGGGGGCCGCCAGCTGACCAGACACAGACGCAGACGCAGCTACCTGAGGGGACTCAGTGGTGAGTGTGTACAGACTCGAGCCAGGCGCACGGGTAAACGTGGCCAGGTGTCGGCCCGTCCGAGCACACGTACAGCGGGTCACTCGCTGACTCGCAGGAGTGAACTGGTGAACCCCTCCATCCTGGAGGTCAGCTCCCGCCACCAAGTTCGTAGAGAACGAGGGGAGGTAAAGACCTGACAGGAAGCCAGACGGGACGGCCGGACACGGCAGAACCGTGGAGTAGTGGGCAAGGACTTGGTCACCGGAGGGGTCCGCCAGGGAGACTGGAACTGGCCGACTGAGCGGCGTGAGTGTGGTGCAGTCGCGAAAGAAGGAGCGGGAAGCTCCTGAGTCAAGGGTGAAGGTGTGCGAGACCGCAGAGGGCGCAGTACCAGAGAGAGCAGACTCACCAGCACCTGAAGCCACGGCCTCACCAGCACCTAGAGCAGAAGACGTACTAGCACCGAGAGCAGCAGCCTCACCAGCACCTAGAGCAGGAGACGCACTAGCACCTAGAGCAGCAGCCTCACCAGCACCGAGAGCAGCAGGCTCTATACCAGGGTCAGGCGGTACGCACAGGTAACAGGCACGGTCAGCACTAGTAGGCAATGCATACATGGCAGTGAGAATAGCATCATAGTCAAGCGCAAAGATATCTACCCTCTGTCCATGCAGCTCCAGCCAGGTGGGGAGCTCAGCCTCGTCGCCAAACACTGTGCGCCAGTCGTCGCTCAGACGGGCGAAGCAGCGGGACTGTGTGTGACCAAGCGTCCCACAAGGCTGACCAGTCCTAGCACCTGTGCGAATGACGTACGGGCAGCGAACTGTACGGGTAGACCTGCTACACTGAGCATACCACTCCTGGAGCTGCCGAGGCGTAAGTGGCTCGCGTGGACGCCCCTGCAGCTGCAGCTGGCCACTGCTAGACGCTCCCAACTGACCAGCCCCAGGGCGACAGCTACGACGGCTACCGCGACAACCCCAGCTAGTATACCACTCACTAAGCTGCTGGGGCGTGAGAGGCTCGCGTGAACGTCGCTGGAGCTGCATCTGGCCACCTGCCAGTAGCAGTAGCAGCAGCAGCAGCGCGGGCAGGGCAGGCGTGGCAGGCAGGCAGGCAAGCAGGCAGGCAGGCAGGAAGGCAGGCAGGCAGACAGGCAGGCAGGCAGGCAGGCAGGCAGGCAGACAGGCAGGCAGGCAGGCAGGCGGGCAGACAGACAGGCAGGCCGGCAGGCAGGCAGGCAGGCTGGCAGGCAGGCAGCCAGGCAGGCAGGCAGGCAGACAGGCAGGCCGTCAGGCAGGCAGGCAGGCGCTCACCAAAGGCTGGGAGAGCAGGCGATCACCGGGCGAGCAGGGCCGGCGCTCGACGGCGGCGGCCGAGTAGGCGCACGACAGCGGCGGCGTCGGGGCCGCAACACCGGCTGCAGAGTAGGGCCGAAGCAGCTGCAGGGCGGGGCCGCTTCAGTGGCAGTAGCAGGGTGGGGCCGCGTCAGCGGTAGGTCGGGGCCGTGGAAGCTGCAGGGCGGGGCCGCATCAGCGGCAGGTCGGGGCCGTGGTAGCTGCAGGGCGGGGCCGCATCAGCGGCAGGTCGGGGCCGTGGCAGCTGCAGGGCGGGGCCGCATCAGCGGCAGGTCGGGGCCGAGGCAGAGGGCCGCGCGCGGCTCGGCGCGGGCTGCGCTGACAGCGCGCTGAGCTGCTGCAGGCCGCGCGCGGCCGCGCTAGGCAGTAGCGGGCCGCGCGCGGCTCGGCGCGGGCTGTTGCGGGCCGCGCGCGGGCCGCGCGAGGCAGTAGCAGGCCGCGCGCGGCTCGGCGCGGGCTGCTGCGGGCCGCGCGCGGGCCTCGCGAGGCCGTAGCAGGCCGCGCGCGGCTCGACGCGGGCTGCGTGGGCTCGGCGCGGGCTGCGCGCGGCAGCTGCGGGCTACGCACGGCTGCAGCGGGCTGCGCGCGGCTCGGTGCGGGCTGCGCGCGGCTGCAGCGGGCTGCGCGCGGCTCGGCGCGGGCTGCGTGGGCTCTGTGCGGGCTGCGCGCGGCTGCAGCGGGCTGCGCGGGCCTGACGGGCGTGTAGAGGGGGCGCGCGGGCCTTACGGGCCTCTAGGGGCGGCGCGCGGGCCTTACGGGCCTCTAGGGGCGGCGCGTGGGCCTTACGGGCCTCTAGGGGCAGCGCGCTGGCCTAAGGCAGCAGGAGGCAGCGCTAGGGCTGCTGGACGGCGCGCATAGTGCAGCACGTCACAAGGCAAGGCAAGGCAGGCAGGTACGTGGGGTAGCGCGGTAACCGCAGCGGTAGGTGGGCCCGAAAAAAACGGTCCTACGGACCTTAGTGCTCTGAAACCATGTCAGAATCTAGCAGCAGGAATGGATGAACTAACAGGATGCAGGAGTACAAGTAGTAAACCCTAATTGGGTTGTACCCCATATGGGCTACCCCACTACAGCCTAGACAATATGCAGCACATATAGTTTGACAATTTCAAGAAGACCTTTATCTTTCACTTTTGTGTCACGTGTGCAATTGGATGAGCGAAGCGAGGATTGCACTAGGGAGACAAGATATAACAGTCAGATTAGAAATAAACGATGTACATATTTGTACATAATAGGCTAGATCAGACTGGTGTGTAGAGGGTATAGGTTTCTATTTACCAGTACCGTATACCACCCTATATGTACCCGTAAACCTAATAGTCACTTTTACTACTTGTTCCAATAGAGTTGTTTCTCAATCAAGACTGTGGATGTGGGCATTAAGCATTAATATACAGCTACGGACCTACGGTATCATACAACAAAACACAGTATTTATAGACACGAAATTTCATTGTAGTTTCAAGATGGTGGCGGTGGTTGCACTTGCAACCTTTGTTTTCTGGAACCAGAAAGCAGCTTCCAAAAATTCAGTAAAGATTGAAGCACTTGAGGGTGGTGGCGGGCGACGGTGGTGGTTTTTTCGGTGGTGGTGAGGATGAGCTGGAGCCTGGGTAAGGCAGAGTGGTCGCACATCTACCTCTTGTCAAATCCCAGTTTTGCTGAATCAAGAACTTGTAACCGTCGGCACCAACTAGGTTGTACAGGGCTCTTGAGGAATCACGCTTTACGGTGCCAAACCTAGTGGTGCAAACATGCAACGATGGCATGCAGTGTTGAGAGAAAACGTTGGCGACGAGCATGTTTTGGGAAGCGAGGAGAAGCATAAGAGAAGTGAAGTAGCTCAGCGGAACTAACAAATGGAAGAAAAATAATGGGTTCGGGACGGGGGTGAAGAAGAAGCGGAAACCTGAATATGCCGCATTTATCGGCGTTCTCGTCCCCATTGTCGTCCATCCACGTCTGCAGGTACGGACTACTAGTCGCCTCGGCTAGCTCGTGTGCAAACACGGACATGAGCCCGTCCATGCCTCTGTCCCGGTTGGGTGAGGAGGAAGAGCTTGTGATGAGGTCGGTGATGCAGCCATCAGGGCACTGCGCATGGTGGGAGGGTGCGAGGTTTTCGAGGCGTCTCAAAACTCAGGGCGCTGTGCATGTGGGAAGGTGAGAGGGTGGGACGAGGTGTGTGTGTGTGGGGATACACGGAGAGCAGCCCATCCATTGCTCTTGTCCCAACTTGGCGTCCCAACTTGGCTTCCCAACTTGGCGTCCCAACTTGGCGTCCCAACTTGGCGTCCCAACTTGGCGTCCCAACTTGGCGTCCCAACTTGGCAAGGCAGACGAGATTGAAAAGAGGCTTGTGTCGCAGATCTCAGCGCACTGTGTGTGGCACTGGCAGGGTGGGCATGTGGACAGAGGGGAAAAAGGGGGAGTGGCTTTTGCATCGACTAGAAAAGACACTGCGTGTGTGATTGCAGGGGTAATTTGGAAGGAGGGGAAAAGGGGGAGTGGGGAACCAGGTGTGTGTCTGAGCATACATAGATAGCAGCCCGTCTACGGCCTTATCCCGGTTGGGCAAGGAGTGTGAGGATGAATTGGACAGGTGACGTGTCTCACATCAGCGTCAGCAAGAAAGACAATAAAAGCATATTTTCTCATCCTGACCGAATCCTCAGACAAGAAAGCAGCAGTGAATGGCACGGGGGACTCGACATTGCTCTTCCTCCTCCCAGCTGCTCACCATGCGACCCTTGCCCGAGACAACAGTGCAGCTGCTCTACCTCTCACTCGCTCACTCACTCACTTGCTCTCACTCATGTGCTCACCATGCGACCATTGCCATGTGACCCTTGCCACGTAACCCTTGCCAGGTGGCCCTTGCCACGTGGCTTTTGCCAGGTGGCCCTTGCCAGGTGGCCCTCCACGTGGCCCTTGCCAGGTGGCCCTTGCCACGTGGCCCTTGCCAGAGGCAACAGACAGCCAGTGGCCCCACACACCTGGGAGATAGCGTTGCCCATCCAGGCTTTGGCCACGCGGCCCTTGCCTGGGACGTCAGTGTACGTGTGCCCCCCGCAGTAGTCTATGCAGAACCCAGACCCCTGGGTCCCCTGCAGTCATGAGGGTTGGGGTTGCAGTGCGGTAATGGGAGGTCTGGGATAAGATGTGAGGGCTATTGGGATTGAAGTTGGGGTAGGGGGATGGGAGAGGGACTGATTGAGTCAACACAGAGCATGAAGCCAGTCCCAGCCGCAATAATGGGTGCAAAAACCAGATCCCTGGAAAAAATGGACAGTGGCGCTTGGGGTTGGACATGGGGATAAGGAAGGGGGAGGGAGAGGGGGAATGGCTCTAAGTGCAAGGCCCATTTCCTGCCCCTCTCTTCAATTCCTGCCCCTCTCTTTAATTCCTGCCCCTCACTTCAATTCCTGCCCCTCTCTTCAATTCCTGCCCCTCTCTTCAATTCCCGCCCAACAACATAGTTAATCGATGCCTCTTCTCAACATGCCTGCTCATTCAGGCTCCAAAGTGTCAATCACTCTGTCATGTCACCTCATCTCATCACAGGGTGTCATCTCACCTCCTGGACGGTTTCATCTGAGAGAACGAAGTACACGCCGTTTGGATCAAAGGGCAGCTTCTGTCCAATGATGGCAGCGGACAGGATGACGTCGGTCTCTGTGTCGTTGATCATCAAGCCTCGGGAATACCCCGTGTCATCCGTTTCGCCTGCGAGTGTAACGGAGCTGGAGATGAAACGCCCATCACGGTCGTAGTACTGCTGGTTGATGTTCCACCACAGGGGTACTGAGAGGGAGGGAAGACGTAAGGGGAGGGGGAGGGTAGGGGGGGAGGGTAGAGGAGGAAAGGAGTGGGGCAAGCAAAGGGTGCGGGGAAAAGGGGGAGGCTTTAGGTTGATGTCCCGCCACAGGGGTACTAAGAGGGGGATGGGGAGGCAGGCAAATGGGGAGGGTCAGGCAAAGGGGGAAGGAGGGGAAGAGGGTGGTTGGGTTGGGTTGGGTTGGGGGAACCTTGATAGAGGTGCAGTTGAAGTTCCACCATAGCTGGGCTGTGTGTGTTGGGGGGGGGGGGAGGGAGGGAAGAGGGTGGGGCGAGGCACGGAAGAATTGAGGCAGGCAAGTGCGACTGGGGAACGGGAGTGGGGGGAATTTGGCGGTTGAGGTGGAAAGGCGTCGGGGGCGCAGTTGCTGTTCCACCGTAGGGCACACTACATGTGGGGCCACGGCACGGTTATGAGTCGGCTCAAAGCAGACCGTATGGTACATGTGGGTCAAGGCACGGAAGAACCAAGGGAGGCAAGTGGACCGGGGGAGGGGGGTGTTGGGGAAGATGGATGGGGGTTGAGAGGGGGAAGTGAAGTGAGACGGGGACGAAAGAGGCGCCACTGACGCTGCATGGGCTATGCGGTGCTGTTGAGCAGGGCAGATGGCATTTTTCTAGATTCTCATAAAACTTGAGTTTTCTTGAAAAGGAAGGGAGGATGCAGGGAGGGAGAGGGGAGGCAGTTCTGGAACTTTTCCCTTCACCGCATGGGCGCTGGCGCTTTAAGGTCATGCGGTGCTGGAGGGAGGGAGGGAGGGAGGGAGGGAGGGAGGGAGGGAGGGAGGGAGGGAGGGAGGGAGGGAGGGAGGGAGGGAGGGAGGGAGGATGCGGGGTCTGTTATTGAGGCGGCTCAAAATCGCTGATGTTATTTTTGAGAATTCTCAGAAGTAACATCATCATGCGGTGCTGTAGGGAGGGAGGATGCGGGGTATGAGTACAAGGCGTACCTGTGATGGAGGTATTTGAGGTGGGGTAGAGTATTTTTGAGAATTCTCACAAATATTCTACATCGCTGAGTACAAGGCGTACCCGTCATGGAGGTGTTTGAGCTGGGGCTGAGCCGAGTACAAGGCGTGCCTATCATCGACGTATTTGAGCTGGGGCGGAGTCACTATCTCAATTCACGCAACGTACCCGTCATGGAGGTGTTTGAGCTGGGGCTGAGCCGAGTACAAGGCGTGCCTATCATCGACGTATTTGAGCTGGGGCGGAGTCACTATCTCAATTCACGCAACGTACCCGTCATGGAGGTGTTTGAGCTGGGGCTGAGCCGAGTACAAGGCGTGCCTATCATCGACGTATTTGAGCTGGGGCGGAGTCACTATCTCAATTCACGCAACGTACCCGTCATGGAGGTGTTTGAGCTGGGGCTGAGCCGAGTACAAGGCGTGCCTATCATCGACGTATTTGAGCTGGGGTGGAGTCACTATCTCAATTCACGCAACGTACCCGTCATGGAGGTGTTCGAGCTGGGGCTGAGCGACCGCGTGAAGGCGCGCACGATCTCCTTCTGACTCGCCATGAACTTGCCGTACCAGATGACATACACGTTAATCGGCGCGTACATTACCCCGCATTCCTGCGGACTATTCTGGCAATGCTGACTGTCCCACCACGGCTTTATCCCTATCGGGTCCGCGAACGGCTCTAATCTCGTCTTTCCCGCAGCGCCAACCCCCGCCGCTCTGTTCCGACCGCTCACGCTTCCGCTGGTCACGCTGCCGCTGGTCTGGCTACCGACGGTGCTACCCGAAGGGGGGGAGGACGCGTTATCGGCGAGACCGACGACGTCGGTTGATTGCGGCGCTGTTTTGTAATATCTTTTGGGCAATGAAACGCCTCGTCGCACGTTCTGACCCGTGGGGGCGGTCATTGTGGGATAGAACCGCATGGGGCGCCGGAAAGGCGCTTCGCCGGCCGCCAGAAGCTGCGCCATTTCCCGTCTGCTTCCGCTGGTCCTTCCGCCTATGGATCCGCCATTGCTTCCGCATTTTCCGCCGGCTGTATGCGCGCAAGTCGACGCTACCAGCAGGAGCGTCGAGATTACGACCCTAATGCTGCAACGTCGATTCGTTTGTTGAAGCCACGTCATGGAGGGACGGCTGTTGGCGAGGCAGGATCTGCGACAGTGAAGGCAGATGAGTGGGAAGGGAACATGATCGCCACCGAGCCTTTCCGCCAGCCATTCGGTGTCTGGTTACTCTTTTCGCGCGGCAGCGTTTCGCTTGCCATCTGGAACACGCGGCTTTGGTTGGCTTGCGAGGGCAAACGAAGCTTTTTGGCCAGTCCGAAGCACAGTGCACGCGACCACACTGAAAAGAATCTACCCCCTGCGATTCCCTTTCTGCGATTCCCTGCATAGGGTTATCCCCGTCAATGGATGCTCTTTTGTCGAAACAAACCCGCTCGTTTACACTGTAATCTCTCTCAAAGAGGTCGTTGCTGGGGTCTGAGGGGTGTCTGATGCATCAGACGGGCAAAAAAAGAAGTTTGTCTGATGCAGACCGGCCCATCAGATGAATCCAAAAAAGTATGTCTGATGATAAGCCGAACAGACAAAAAATGTCTGCTATCTACGTCCACTTCTACTTGTAAGAACGTAGGGATATTTCCTCGTCTGTTCTGGCTGAACCACGCCACACCTCCCCTCACGCGCCTGATAAAACTCTCGTCACGTTGACGCACCCGTTGACTTGGTCATTCGTAGTCTCGCGCAGTCGCATCGCAACCATGGCGCGTCGGAAGCAGGTTAACCCGTCTCGCAGTCGAGCATCGCGCGCCGCTTGCACACCACCCGATGTCGTTGAAGCTCAACCGTTAGATTTGGCAGTCTCCCACGTGTCTCCGGCACCGCTTTCCTCACCCACGCTTGTCGTTCCGCAAGTTGAAGGCAGTCAGCGCGGACCTGACGGCGACGGTAGCGGCGGCAGCCAACTAACCGGCCAATCCGACGGCTGGCGCATAATATGGGTCAAGCTAGGGGACCCTGAAGGTGCTGATGTCGCATTACTGGGACCATTCACTCTGTCGCCGCATCCGAATCGTACTACTCCTCCTCACCTTCTCAGCCAGCAACGCCGCAGCGGCTGCGCTGCCGCCCCGACTAGCGGCGCCGCGCCTACCGCGACGCCCGGTAGTGCCATACTCGATAGCGACATACCCGATACCAAAATACTCGATAGTGGCGATCCGCTGGGTCGTCTAGCCGTGCTTCGTGCGTTCTTAGAGCGGAACAGAGGAGCGCGCGGGGGAGAAGGCGGCGTGGGCATGCGCGAGGGGCGGGCGAGGCTGCATGCGTGTTTGAGCGTGCGGGAGGGCCGTCGCGCGGGCGACGAGCAGTCGCGCTCGCGGCCGTGTGGGCGCGCGCAGGTGCCGCGGGTGCGCGCGGAGGACGTGGTGCTTCACGTGGTGCGCGCAGGGGAGGGAACAGGGGAGCGCGCAGGGGGAAGGGCGGGGGAAAGGGATGGAGAGGCGGAAAAAGGGAGGGAAGGGGAAGGGGTTGGGGGTGGGGAATGGGCGAAGTGCGAGGAGTGGGAGGAGGAGGAGAAAGGGGAGAGGGAAAGAGGGGAGGCGGAGGCAAGGGAGGGGGAGGGGGGGGAGAGGGCGGAGATAGTAGTGTCTGTTCGGGCGAGAGAAGTGAGGCAGTTGCAGCACCCACGTGCCTTGCACGCGCTGCTGTACCTTGCAGAGAGGCACCTCGTTACTGTCACACCCTACCTCGTTGCTGCAGGCCACAACAACACAGCAGCAGAAGCACGCCCAGAAGCGGAAGCAGGCGCTGCGGAAGCAGGCGCAGCGGAAGCAGAAGCAGCGGAAGCAGAAGCAGCGGAAGCAGGTGCAGGGCCATGTGAATCACATGCGTGCTTACGTGGGTGCGTGTGGGTGGCGGTGGGCATCCCCCGCAGCCTCGCCCCCTCTCTGCCCCTACCGGACGTGCGCGCCCCGCTGCTCTCCCCTCTGCTCAACTCTGTGCGCCGCCCCTCCCATTCTCCCCACATGCGCGCCCTCATGGCCTGCCTCGCCCCCCTCGTCCTGCCCCACGCGCCCATGCCCCCATGTGTACATGCACACACACATGCACATGCACATGTACATACTCATACACATGCGCATGCACGCACACATGCAAGTTCTGAGGTGTCTCAATGTATGTATGTGGAAGAGCATGGGGGTGAGGTGGAGGATGCGTGTGGAAGCACCAGCCGGAATGCTCGCACACCCCCGCCTTGCGCCTGCCAGCCTGGACATGATGCTCATGACGTGGCTACTGCTGACGTGGCTACTGCTGAATTGGGTATTGCTGACGTGGCTTCTGATCTAGGTGGAGAGGACGGAGTCAAGGAGAAGAGCGAACGGGAGAAAGGGAAGGGGAAGAGTGACGAGGGAAGCAGCACAGGCGCGACAGTGGATGGTGGCAGGGGAGGTTACGGCGATGGCTCTGGTTGTGCCTCTGCTTCTGCTGCTGCTGGGAGCCGCGAGGCTGGTGCTGGTGGTGCAGCAGAGGCACGAGGGGGCGTGTATGGCAGCGCGGATGGCAGGGTGTATGGCAGGGTGCATGGGGGCAGCTGCTTTGACCTCGCTCAGCTGTATGCTGCTGTGCGTCCCAGCAGGTGCGTGCTGCCGCCCTTTCTGCCCGTGCAGTGCACTTCCCCTGCCTCCTCTCCACCACAAGTGCCTTCACTCACCCCCTCACTTGTTGCAACTCTTCTCTTTCGTTCCTTCCAGGAATCTGCCACCCCTTGCCACGAGTCCTGCCGGCCTGCTCCCCTCGCTGAGGACGTACCAGAGCCGGGCTGTGGCGTGGATGCTGCAGCGCGAGCGCGGCGCGCAGGGTGGTTGCAGCGGGGAAGTTGAGACAGGGGGACGTTGGGGCGGTGGGGAGGGTGGGGAGGGTGGGGAGGGGGGAGCAGTGCAGGGGGGCCAGCGTGGGGGTTGGTGCCATGCGGAGCAGGAGCAGCAGGGGTGGTGGAGGGCGGAGCAGCACCCGTTGTGGCGGCGGGTGGTAGCAGGCACCGCCAGTGACCCCATCTCACAGCCCACGCACAGCAGCACCGCCCCTGCCGCCACCCTCCTCTACAACCCCTTCCTGTGCGTGCCTGCTTACGTGGAATGAAAGCCACCCCATGTGCTTGCCTGCTCACCTCCCCGCCCCTCCTTGCCCGCTTGGCCCATTAGCGCATGCCCAACACTCTAGTGGCTCGCATGAGTGCTCTCAGCTGGGCACGTGCCAACACGTGCCAAGCTTCAATCCCATCCCCATCCCCATCCCTATCTCCATCCGTATCCCCATCCTCATCCCCATCCCCATCCCTCTTCCCATCCCAATTCCATCCTTCCCTGTATTCCCACCTGCCAGAGGCACGTTCGTCCGTCTATCCCTCGGCGCCTCATGTGCAAGGCCTGGGAGGCAGCCGCAGGAGGAAGAGGCATGGAGGTATGGGGGGGAGAATAGGAGCGGGGAGATGCAGCCAAGTGGTTCCCCCTTGAGTCCAGGTTCAGCGAATACAGACTCGGCAGCTGTAGGGCCGACCTGTCCAGACATGGTGAACGATGCCGGCCCAACAAGTCCAGGCTTGGCAAGTGCAGGTGCGGTGAGTCTAGGTATGGCAAGATCAGGTATTAACCCAGGTACTTTGAGCCCAGGTTTGGTGAATCTTGGTGTGGTGAGCCCAAGTTCGGTGAGTCCAAGTTCGGTGAATCCAGGTTCGGTGAATCCAGGTTCGGTGAATCCAGGTCCGGTGAATCCAGGTTCGGTGAGCCAAGGTCCGGTGAGTGCAGGGTGGGGGAGTGGAGTGTGCGGGTGGGTGGGTGCGGTGGCGGGGGCAGTGAGGGGCGGCATTGTGGCTGAGGAGATGGGGCTGGGGAAGACCGTTGAGGTGCTTGCTTGCATCCTCTCCCACCGCTGGGGTGGCAGTGGGGGCGAGAGGCAGGGAGAGGAGGCAGAGAAAGGGGTGTTGCAGGGAGAGTGGGTGAGAACGGGAAAACGTGGGAGGGAGGAGGTGGAAGAGGAAGAGGTGGTGTGGAAGAAGAGGGAAGTTCTGACGGGTGTACAGGGGGTGGTGGAGAGGAGAGGAGGGTGGGTGCGTGGGGAGATAGAGGAGGGTGTTGAGGAGAGGAGAAGGAGCAGCAGGAGGCGCAGTGGCAGCAGTGCGGGCAGCAGCAGCGGCATCAGCTTATGTACTGCAGGGAGTGGCGCAGAGGCATTGGCAGTGCAGGAGGCGAGGGGAGGGGCAGAGGCGGCCGGGGGAGGGCAGGCAGAGCAGCAACGAGAGGCGATGGAGGGGCCTTTGGAGGGCGTGACGTGGTGCAAGGGGCAGCGGACGCGGAGAGAAGAGATGCGGGGGAAGGGGCGGATGACGGGCGGTGGGGGTTCTGGTGATTTTGGGGTTGCGGGAAGAGAGGAGGAGGAGGAGGATAAGAAGAGCAGGAAGAGGAAGCGAGGGAGAGGGGGTTGTGATGGGACAGCAGCAGAGAGCAGCAGGGGGCGTGGCGGAGGTGGGCAGGTGGGGGGGAAGGGAGGGAGGGAAGTGGCGGGGGAGGGCAGTGAGGGATGCGAGTTGCGGGAGTGTGGGAGCACGCTGATCGTGTGTCCAGCAGCCATCCTCCCCCAGTGGCAGCAGGAGGCCGTGCGGTCAGTGCCTGCCTGCGCATTCTGTTCGTTGCACAGACCATTTTTTTAATATCTGTGAATGAATCCAAATAGCACTTATTGGATGTAACATTGCTGTGCTCCCCACATTCCCCAGTGTCAGCATGGCTCGCCTCCTCTTACCCTGTCCTTGCCACTCACCTTGCATGCACTGCTTCTGTAAGGATTTACAAATCCTTACTGAGGCGCTCGATAGCGAGGCCATCCCGAGGGCCACGCGACCAACTGGTTCGGCCTACAATTTCGCATCCCAACCTCACCGAGCCGCCTCCGCACCAATCGCGACACTTCGCGAGCCAACCCTACCACACCATCCCCGCCTAGCTAGGTTTTCCCCTATTTAGGCCTCGCTACTTCATTGTTCAGGCATTCTGTAGTTCAACATTCTCGTTATTCGATATCTGCGCACTCTGACAAGTTCATTCATAACACCTGGTATCAGAGCTACTTTCCTAGCCTACCCCGCTTTTTAGAGTGTATTACCCCTCGGGGGGGGGACGAGTAAGGATGCCTTGGGGTCCAGGAGTTGCGTAGGCCGGCCAAGAGAACTAGTTAGTTGCTCTTCGCGGCCATAGTTTTACGGGGCACTCCTTCGGCACCGCCAGATCCTTCACTCGAACGGTCGCGATCGACCGTGACCTCCCTCCCCCCGGGCAACGGACAGCTGGAGCTGTCGCGACATCGAACGTGAGTTACTATTTCCGCTGCGGTTTTAACGACGATTTCGAAACTGTGAGGCAGCTGGCGTCAGCGGATCTGCGTCGGCACCTGCACGAAGATTTCGGAAGTCGTCACGATGTGTGGCAGTTGACGCCGTCGGACCCGAGTCAACAACTGCGCGACAACTTCGGAGTCCGTCCCATGCGGCAAGTGACAACGGTGGCTCGTCGTCATCATGCGCGCGCGACTCACGGAGTGTGGCTCGGCAGCTGGCGACAAGGAACGTGCGTCACTGTGGCGAAAATTTCGGAGCTTCTGTTGAAGAAAACGTCGGCTGGGGAACTCGCCAGGCGCAAAAGGAGTTTGCGTCCGAAAATGTCGGTGGCGAGGAGAGACGACACAAGACTGCCCGACTTCGCGGGAGTTAACTGCCGTCCCGCCCGACCTGTTAAGTGCGGCAGCTTTTACTGCATTGGCGGGCGCGTCATCAACAAATTCGGCAGGAGTGCTCGTGGACAGACGGGACTTCATACCTGCTGACGCTTACGGGCTGCAACGGAAAACGCGATGGCTAAACCGCACTTACGAGGAGTGGGACGCAGGCGACGAGGGAAATCGGGGCAGGTACACCTCGAAAGAACTCGTGCGACGCTGCGTGCCTGGTGTTGTTGCAAGCTGGCCGGCAGTATCGAGAACAGTTTCCCCTGACCAAGGATGTTGTTTTCGGGGACAGCTGCTGACAACCCACGGTTAAACGGTGTCCAAGGTACCGCCCGATAATTTCGGAGGGGTCGGTACAGGCTGCCGGGACACGCGAGAAGAAACGGCCCAACGGCTAAGCGGGGGTTGAAGAACGTTGCGGGGGCAGATTAAAAGCCGGTGGAATCGATCTGCGGCCCTACTTCGCCCGAACCTCACCATCCCCACCAAGTCCTGGTTCTGACTCATGCAGTCAACCTACTTGGCCGAATAACGGGGGTGAACACGTGGCCTACCCTGCGCTGGTTAAAGGTACCGGGATTGGTGCCCGTTCAACAGCTGTCCAAGAAAAGGACAAAAAAAGTGGAGCTCGCGGCACTGTTTTACTCCGACAAAAGCGGGCTGGGTGAACGGCACGCGAAAAAGTCGGGGAGCTGCGAAGAAGAAATGGTGCAGTCTACAGGTTTCTCCTGACCCGGGCGTCTACACGAATCGACGGCGCAGCGGCGAAGCTGAGACCGGGAAGCTGTGGATTTTACGTGACGTGATAGGCACGGCGGGCTGCAAAACGGTTGGGCGACAGTTTCCTTTTAACTAAGGCTGCCCCGACTCCGATAGTTTTTGCTTCTACACCGTGGCCGAGTTCGCGCGGGCAACAACGACGATACCCCATCCGACAAAAGCGGACGCTGGGTGAACGGCGGGAAGCGGAATTGTCGGGGGGTGAATACGAAAAATATGACGATGGAGGGAAAGTTGTGGGTGATCCAGCAGATCACTTGAGTGATAGGTTGAGCCCGTGCACCAATCTACCGCGAATTTCGGAGTCTATTCGGTAGACCCCCGAAAGGGTTTGATATCGTTACATGGAGGCGCGGCGAGCGGTACATTGCCAAGGATACCTGGGATTCGCTAAGTAGTTCCGGCGGGTACGAAGATGGGTGAACATCGGAGTACCAGGGAAAAAACGGCGGAAACGTCGGGGCTATACGGCGGAGAATAACTTCGGGACTGCAGCCTCAACCACGATTTTCGGGGTTATCTTCTTACGGAAAAAAAAAAAAAAAAAAAGGAGTTGAAGCTGAGGGTGTTTTCTTCGTTTCTTGGAGTGCGGTTGATACCTAGGACCCACGGGTGTTTAAACGTACACCGCGGGAAATTCTTCAGGGAGCGTGGGAGCAGCCGAGGCTTCGGGATTTACCTGCCGGTGACGCGCGATGAGGTGAAACATCGCAAAGCGCCAGTGGGAGTTTGCGTGGTTTTCAGTTAAGCGACATCGACGGGAGCAGTTTCGACGACGGGGTCAACGGCGTTGATGCCTCTAGGTTCCGTGAAATTCGGTCTCGGAAGACCCAGGGCAGTCCCCGGTTCTCGATTTAACCCACATGCTGGGGTCGGGTAACCGAAGGAAACTGATGGTGACCGGGTGGGCGGCTATAGCACGTCTGAGATTTTCGGAGGAGAACTGCACCTAGACCTGTGGATTTACGGGGCTACTTCTCGAGCGACGATTTCGGAGTTTGACGAAGGACTTCACGGTTTTACGGCGAAAGCGCGGCAATTTTGTGGCAGTACTTTCGAAGTTTGGTTACACGCGCGCGAAATTTACGCAGGGCAACGGCGCGGGAACTACACGGACTTTTCAAGGGGTACGAACGACTTACGACGAACTGGAGAAGGCGGCGGCAACAGTGACGGGGGGGGAGAGACAGCTGCAAATTTTCATCCCTGCCCACGAACTCTCGGCGGATTACGACAAAATTCTTGGAGAATCCATCCCAACTCTGCTTCCAACAACTCGCCATCGACCCGCCCACGACAAACATATTTAATTTCAGCCACGTCAGGTGCTGCCAGTCGCAACTGCTGCAGATACTGCACGATTCTGGCGACGTGAAGACAAAAAGCTTCAGTTCGAGTACTTGGCAACTTTGGTTTCGGTTTCTGGTCTACTTTCGCTGGTTCGCCCTTGACGACTTTTGGGCACGTAATTCCTGGTTTCGACATCGACATTTCCACACCGACGCATTTTCACTTGGGTTCCTTCCATCAATGGCTTTCTTTCCTCTCGGCGCAGCAGTGAGCATTTTCTGGTGTAATTTCTTGAAGGGGGGGAGAAAGTGCCTCGCACTGTTCTTTCCTTGGCGTTTTCTTGGTCCTTTTCTGACTTTGTCAGGTTGCGTCAGCACGACGAACGACTACGATTGCTGCTTCACGATCAACGATCCCTACTCAATCGCGTTTGAATTCGCGTCAGCAGGTTCCCTCCAAAATCGCATCTGCCTCGACCGTCAGATTCGCTGCTGCTCGATCAACGGCCCACATTCCAACTTCCACTTCATTTTGGGCCAGCTCATCCTCATCCGTCAGATCGACATCTGACTGCATCTACGGCCCACAATCCAACTTTCATTACATTTGGGCCACTTCATCTTCGACCGTCAGATCGAAATCTGACAACATCAACGGCCGACATTCCAACCTTTTCAACAATATTGTCTGGGGCATTTCAGCCGTCGGATTCAGCTGAAGTGAAGATCAACGGCATCCTCGCTACTGGGTGACCCTTTTCAGTACAGGGCTGCCTTATTTAGGAGGTGGGAGAGTGTAAGGATTTACAAATCCTTACTGAGGCGCTCGATAGCGAGGCCATCCCGAGGGCCACGCGACCAACTGGTTCGGCCTACAATTTCGCATCCCAACCTCACCGAGCCGCCTCCGCACCAATCGCGACACTTCGCGAGCCAACCCTACCACACCATCCCCGCCTAGCTAGGTTTTCCCCTATTTAGGCCTCGCTACTTCATTGTTCAGGCATTCTGTAGTTCAACATTCTCGTTATTCGATATCTGCGCACTCTGACAAGTTCATTCATAACAGCTTCGTTTCATCAGACTTCACTCCCCCCACTCTCCCCTCACCCCCCTGCGTCCACCAGGCACACCCGGCCACACACAGTGGCAGTGCTGGTGTACCGCGGTGTCAACAGCCCCGCTCTGCGCCTCTCCTTCCGCCCCGCCCGTACCTCGCTCTCCCACGCACCCCTCACCGCACCCCCTCAAGCCGTGCCCTTGGAACGGGACCAGTCCCCTTCCACTTTTCTCACCTCGTCCCCTGCCACTCCTCTCACCTCGTCCCCTGCCACTCCTCTCACCTCGTCCCCTGCCACTCCTCTCACCTCGTCCCCTGCCACTCCTCTCACCTCGTCCCCTGCCACTCCTCTCACCTCGTCCCCTGCCTCTCCTCCCGTTGCCTCCCCTGATTCCCCTCTCACTTTTGAGGCGCCTCAAAAGCCTTCCACTCCGCACACCGCGTCCCCTGCTTCTCCTCCCGTTGCCTCCTCCGATTCTCCTCTCACTGCATCGTCTGCTACAGCTGGACGGGTGGGAGAGTGTGGTGGGGGGGAGGGGATGGCAGGAGATGGCGGGAGGGGGGGCGGAGGAGAGGATGGGGATGGCAAGAGGCGGGTGGATGGAGGGATCAGTGAGGGAAAGGGTGGCGAGGGCGGCGAAGGGAAATGTGGGGATGACAGCGGATGGAGGGATGGGGAGAGAGTGTGTGCAGGAGGCAGGCAAGCAGCGCAGGAGAGGGGAGGACGGCAGGTGAGCGTAGCATCAGGCGATGGAGAAACGGGGCCACTGGAAGGAGGGCTGGGCTGGGGAGGAGATGGGGGGGAGAGAGACCGAGGGGTGGTTGGCGGTGGGGGGGAATTGGAGGCGGTGTGGGAGGAGGTGGCTGTGGTGACTGTTGATGACCTGGCAGCTGCTGACATTGTGCTGACGTCGTACGACACGCTGCGTGGCGACATCTGGCACGATGTGGGTGGGCAGGGGCACGTGGCAACACGGCAGCTGCGATACGAGAAGAGGTGCGCGGGCGGGGTGCGATGCTGGGTGCGATGCTGGGTGCGAGTGTAAGGGGGGCGCGTGAGTGGGGAGTGTGGCTGAGTGAGGGTGTGATGCTGGGTGTGATGCTGGGTGTGATGCTGGGTGGGAGTGTAAGGGGGGCGCGTGAGTGGGGAATGTGGCTGAGTGAGGGGTGGGGACGTGAGGGGAGTGTGGGGGATTGCTAGTGCAAGTGTGCATGTGTGCATTGTAGGAACGGGGAGGCTGCAAGCTGAAGAGGTGAGGGGTTGAGAAAACACCTCTTTCCACGCCCTCCCGCACCTCCCAACCTGTCTCGCCTCTGCCAACCTCTCTGCCCACACCATATCCCCTGCCAGGTATCAAATCCGCCCCACACCTCTCACACAGCTGCACTGGTGGAGGGTGTGTCTGGACGAGGCGCAGCTGGTGGAGGGGGGAACCTCCAGAGCAGCAGTCATGGCAGCCCGCCTGTCAGCGCGCCTGCGCTGGTGTGTCTCCGGCACGCCGCTGCACCGGGGGCTGCCGGACCTGCTCGGCCTGCTACGGTTCCTCCGAGCCTCGCCGTTTGATGACCCGCACTGGTGGCGCCACTTCTTCCAGCTTCCCGTTCAGGTCCGCCCGTGAGAACTTTTGAGATTTCTCAACATTGTGTTTTTGAGTCGAAACACAGCTCAAACCTCGCCGTTTGATGACCCGCACTGGTGGCGCCACTTCTTCCAGCTTCCCGTTCAGGTCCGCCCGTGAGAACTTTTGAGATTTCTCAACATTGTGTTTTTGAGTCGAAACACAGCTCAAACCTCGCCGTTTGATGACCCGCACTGGTGGCGCCACTTCTTCCAGCTTCCCGTTCAGGTGCAGTTCCTCTCGTTGCTGTTTGAGACACGCTGCGGATGATGGTATGCGCGAATGGTGGTGGTGAATGGTGGTGGTGAATGGGATAAATTGTGGTGATGAACGGTCATGGGGTTGTGACAGACGGCATTTGAGGGGTGAGTGATGGTGAATTGGCACACTTGACTCATGATGATTGGGATAGTATGAGAGAGTGACACTTGAGCCAGTCGCAGTGGGACTGGTAGCATGAGTGTGGGTAAAACCCAGTCCCCTCTGGTGGGCCAATGCGATCTTAACTGTTCCCTGCGCTCTACTCCGCTGTTCCCTTTCCTTCCCTGACCTCTCCCTTTCACTCCCCTAATCACTCCGCTCCTCCCTCTCTTTCTCCCTTCACCTCCTGCTGCTGCAACGCCACGTCAGAATGGATGCGGGGCAGCATGGCAAGAGCTCCTCGCCCTCATGTCGCAGCTGATGTGGCGCCATCACAAGGCTGACGTGGCGGACGAGCTGGCGCTGCCACCTCAGCGGCAGCTGCTGACAGTACTACAATTCAGCGCCATCGAGGCGCACTTCTACCGCCAGCAGCACGCCAAGTGCGCCCAACGCGCCTCCAGCATGCTGCGCTCCCTGGCACGCGGGGGGAGGAGGGGCGGAGCCGGGAAGAGAGGCGGAGGAGCAGGAGGAGGAATAGAGAAAGTGAGATCAGATGAAGGAGGTGGTGGGGATGGTGGAGATGAGGAGGGGGAGCAGCAGGAGCAGCAGCAGCAGCGGCAGCAGCAGCAGCTGGTGCTGGGGTCGCGGTCGGTGGCGGGTGCATGTCGGGGCGACACGGAGCGGTTCCTGGCGTCGCTGCTGCTGCTACGCCATGCCTGCTGCCACCCCCAGATTGGCTCCGGTGGTCTCAGGCCACTGGGATCGCAGGGCCGCCCCATGCACATGGACGAGGTGCTGCAGGTGAGCTGCGTGCGGCAGGTGAGATGCGGTGCTGCAGGTGAGATGCGGTGCTGCAGGTGAGGTGGGAGGTAAGGCACATTTCACCTGTTCTACTCAGTTGTGTGTCACTCTTCACACGAGTGGCACATTTTCTGCATCTTTGCCACTCCTCCCACCCAGCTTCCTAATCTCGTTTGCCCCAAGCCGTTTTCCACCCGTCTTTTCAAGTCACCGGCCTCTCTCTGTTGAATGCATTTGCTCGGCACGGTAATCGCATCATCACTTTCATGCTCCCAGGTGTTAACAGAGAAGGCGCGGGTGGAAGCGGAGGAAGCGCAGCGCCTCCTCATATCCGCCCTCAACGGCCTTGCTGCCCTCGCAGCCATCCACGCGCCCGCCCTCCCCCTCCGCTCCTCCTCTGCGCCCCCCGCCTCTTCCTCCTCCTCACACTCCCGCTCTTCCTCATTCGACAAGAGCAGCGAGCAGTGGCAGGCGGGGGTGGTGCAGGCGGTGGGGATCTATCGTGACGTGCTGCGCCTCATGGATGGGGATGGCCCTGGGGATGAGGGGGAAATGAGTCAAGGCGATGCGGATGTGGATGGAGATGGTGGGGAGGAAGGCAGGGAGAAAGGGTTGTCTGTGGCTCGTCCTCCTGTGCAAGGTGGTGTGCTGCGCACGGACCCTCTGCAACGCCTGCACGTGCTGCACAACCTGCATGAGCTGCTCGCTTTACTGCACGCCACCAGGAGTGGAGAAGGGACACGAGAGGGTGAGCAGGGGTGCAGTGCGGTGGAGCCCAGTGGCGATGGAGCAGGGTTGGGTGTGGCGCGGACACTGAGGGATGAGCGGCTGGAGGCGGAGGGCGGTGAGGTGAAGGAGCGGTACCTGGTACCCTTGAGGGCCCGCGCTGCTGCTGCTCAGAAGGCCTTTGAAGACACACACTCTCAGGCGAGTGGGGGGGATGGGAACAAAGAAGCACATGGGAGAAGGACATGCGAGAAACACAGAGGTAAAACGCTATGATTCTTATCAGGGATGATCACAATCTTGTCATTGCTATGGCAACGACATTGTTGCCAGCGCTTATGGCTACCCAGACTGTTGTGGCACGCTTGCGAATGGTCAGTGCTTTTTTTCTGTCTTCCCTTTGCCTACACCTTCCACATCCGTGATCATGCAACTTCGTTGTCCCCGTCCCACACATTGATATTGCCTGCACACCCACATGCACTTCCCCACCGCCCACACACATGGGCGCGTCGTTGTTTCCGGCAACCCTCCCCCCCTTCCCCTCCCCCCTTCCCTCCCACGCACACACACCCACACGGGTAGGTGGAGGCCCATCTGGCAGCGGCTCGCCTGTCCACCGCCACCACTCCCTGGTGGCTCTCGCTCCTCACCGCACTGCACTCCTCTGCACCGCCCGGCATGGCGGAGAGTATCACGGCACGCCTGCACCGTGCACTACTGGACGACGACCACCGCCCGGCGCACACCCACAACATGGCCAGCCTTGGGCTCAGGTGCGCTTGTCCCCTGCCCCAGATGTGCCTTCCTCAGATGTGCCTCCCTCAGATGTGCCTCCCTCAGATGTGCCTCTCTCAGATGTGCCTCCGTCAGCTGTGCTGCAGCTTTTGCTCTGCACGCTGCATTGGCTGCACCGGTTGCTGGAACCCCCCCTTCTCCATTATTCGCCAACCCAACCTCCCTGACTCTCACCCCCCCTTTTGCAGGTTTCGCACGCTGCACGGGTTGAGGCTGGTGCTCGCGGGGGGAGGTGGACTCGCTGTTGGCGAGCTGAGAACACCTTCGCTTATACACCCCTTCTCCCCTCTTTCCCCCCTCTCCCACTCCCCCCAACCCCCCTCCCCTCCTCCACTCCACAGGTTTCGCACGCTGCACGGGTTGCGGCTGGTGCTGGCGGGGGAGGTGGACGCGCTGCTGGCAAGCTGAGAACACCTTCACTCATACACCCTTTCTCCCCCCTTTCACCCCTCTCCCGCTCCCCCAACCCCCCTCCACACACTCCACAGGTTCCGCACGCTGCACGGGTTGCGGCTGGTGCTGGCGGGGGAGGTGGACTCACTGCTGGAGGGCAGGCGGGAGGTGCTGCAGCGCGTGGTGCAGGCGGGCGGGCAGGTGGCGGCGCAGGGCGTGCAGGGCAGCCTCGTCGCACAGGCAGGCTCGTGTGCTCGCTGCTGTGCCGTGCAGGAGGGGGAGGAGGGGGCGGAGGCAAGGGGGGCTGAGGGGTTGCTGGCTGGATTGGGTGGTGAGAGGGGGACGGAAGGGAGTGCGGGGGACGAGTGCTGCATGCACTGCAAGACACAAGAGTTCTTTGAGGTGAGACGGCTGTAGGATTCGGTCTGGTTGATTGATATAAAGAAAACGTTTCTATCAGGTCTATTGTGTCCAGGGCCTTCGGTATCCGGGTAAAACACCCTGATTTCCTTGATTTCAGGATGATGCTACCTCCACTTTCCCTGAAATTTCAGTATCCTCGCAGTGAACCCTGTAATTTCAGGATAGAAGATTTGTATCACCCTTGGATTTCAGAGTGTCCTACACGCCCTTGCCGTGAACATCGCGGAAGCTTGGTATGCAGCAGTTTCGTCAAGCTCAACTATTGTTCCGTCAAGAATGCGCACTCGATTCCCGTTATACTACAACACCGTCCCCGGTTGCTGGCCCGTCAAATTCTTTGACCCTGTCGGCCTTTTCTCTCCCAATTGTTGACGAGGCCGAATTGAAGTATCAGAATGCTTTGTATCGGCTCATCAAAGAATGAAGCCAAAATTCGCATTCCGGCTTCCCCTTTGTCAAGTGCTGTGTGTGTATAAAACATGGTGTTACAGAATCTAACTACGGCCGTGTTGGAGATGGTGGAGTTGATGTGGAAACTCAAGCTTTCCATGCTTCGTCGTTCTCTGATGCGCACGGAATGCTTGAGTCTGCACGTCAACTGCACAATCTTCACTACGGCCGTAATTAGTTCCTATAACACCATGTTCCATACACGCACTGCACTTGACAGAAGGGAAGCCGGAAGACGATTGACACAACACAAGCCATGGAAAATCTTGGCTCCATTCTTTGGTGAATCGGTACAAAGCATCTTGGTACTTCAATTCGGCCTCGTCCACAATCGGGAAAAAATAGGACGACAAGGTCGTATGATTTGACGGGCCGGCAACCGGGGACGATGTTGTGGTAGAGGAGGAATCAAGTGCGCAGGCTTGACAGAACAATAGTTGAGCTTGACGAACTGCTGCGTGTCAAGCTTCCGCGATGTCTTCGGGCGCATCCGCGTTGCTAGATAGGGCTTGGATGTCGTCACGAGTGGGGACGACGACTTGCCAACAAGACCCATCTCGGTGGTTGCATAAATCGAACCGACATTGGCGTGGGGTCGGATTGGACCAGGTATGGTAGGCAAGCGAACAGGAGTTGAGGCGGTTGATTCTGCGACACTGAGGGCGGCGTTAAGAGGGGGTTGCCAGATCCCAACGCGTGGGATGGACGACGGCCGGTACGCCAAGCAGGTGCGTGCGCACCATGTTTACGATAGCGACTGAGGGGCGCAAGAAATTAAGGCACGTTAAGCTACGCGGTCTGTTGGTAACATCACTTTGAAATTAGGGAAATTGGAGTGTTCCTCACCCTGATATCATAGGCCCTGGTGTCAAGCGATGTGTGCCAAGCTCTTGGCATGCACGTGTGCTGCCATGTGATGTTGTTTCTGTGCTACGATATGGGAGTCGCTTTTGAGAATTCTCAAAAGTGATTCCAGGCAGGCACGCCCTCCTCCCCTCCCGGTGCTGTCATGTGATGCGGTTTCTGCGCTGGGAACCCATGCGATCTCAATTGCAATGGTGGAAGAGATTGCCATCTGTCCCTGTGGCATGTCCCTCAGGGACTGCGATTATCCTACTCACCAGTATAGGCTGATTACGTTAGCAAGCCCAAGCATTGAGTGTACAACCCAGTGAAGATCGGTTTACGGCTGAGGGGGCAGTCAGTTTGGGGGTTGGGCTTCTCGTAAGTCGAGCCAAGCCCGCTCGTTGACGTCAAGCATGCCTCGAACACATTAAAATGTTTTTTTTTTTTTTTGTGTGTGTGAACAAATAATGTAAGGAAGTAATCTTAGAATGAGTACAAAGCTTCACCTCATCACAATGATGAGCCCGCTGGAACCGCCGAACCATGGCGTGTTCCCTCCCCTCCCACCGTCCACTGTGTCAATCTCCAATCCCTCGTTCCTTAAAGTCTTCCTTTTTTCCAAACCCCCCATCCTGTCCCCCCCCGCCAGAGCTACCAGCGTCGCCTCTTCCACCTGCGCCTCTCCTCCACCGCTCCCTCCCTCCCCGCCTCCTCCCCCTCCGACCACCCTCACCCTCCCAACCCCCCCTCCTCGCCCCACGACCCCCTCCACGTGCTCCACTCCACCCTTGGCGTGCGCCGCACCCCACTCACTGGAGCAACAGCAGGAGGGCAGGGTGGCAGGGGGAGGGGCAGCAGGGGTGAGGGGAGTGGTGGGGCAGGCAATGTAGGGGAGAAAGGGGGGATGGTGGTGTGGAACCCGTCTGACACCGAGAGGTGTCTTGCTGTGCTGGCGTCTGTGCTGCGATCACTGCCACGTGGCATCATCCCAGAGGACGAGCAAGCCAGCCTGGCAGCTGCGGCGTCCAGCTCTTTAGAGGCTCTGGAGGTGACGCGAGAGGCACACAGGCCATTGCGGCGAGATGGGCTTTATGTCATGATGTGTTGTTCTAATCTGCCATGCTGTCTTAACTGCCATGTTTGTCATGGTGCGTTTCCTGAGTGGACTTCAACTCTACGCAAGTGGCACGTACAATTCTGGTCCTCCTTTGTGCGTCTCTTATCTCCTCCATTAACCTCGTACTCTCACTCATCCGCAATCGCCCCTTCACGCTTTCTGTGCCGCTGCGCGGCTGCGTCCCTCTTCTGTTGCTCCTCCTCCCCGCTTCCCCCAATCCACCAGGCCATGCGGAAGGAGTTCCTGGTAGCGCGGGCGTGGTCGGAGGCGCAGAGGGGCGTGCTGCGAGCACTGGACGAGCTGACGTGGTAATGTCTCTGTGCTGACGCGTTTCCTCTGCCACTGCTCCCTTCCCCGCGCACCAGGCCATGCGGAAGGAGTTCCTCGTGGCGCGGGCGTGGTCGGAGGCGCAGAGGGGAGTGCTGCGAGCGCTGGACGAGCTGCACATGGCCGTCACGCGAATCACGCTGCGCCACGTGGACGAACCCCCATCCGCCACGTCAGCAGCAGCAGCGCGCATGGCGCGCGTGAGTGAGGAGGAGGTGGCGGCGCTGAGCGTGGTGCTGACGCACGACAGGCTGGCAGCTGCCGGCCAGCTGCAGATCAGCCGCGCCCAGCTGAGGTACCTGCGCGGACTGGCCTCTGCTCGACGACGCGTGGTGCGAGAGGGCAGAGATATGGGGAAGGAGTTGGTTGGAGCGGATGGGAGTGGGAGAGGGAGCGAGAAGGGGTGGAGTGGGAAGAGGGCTTTTGGAGAAGAGGGGGAGGAGGGAAAGGAGGGGGAGGAGGAGGAGAGCTGCCCTGTGTGCAGGGAGGCGTTAGGCAGTGAGCTGTCGGTGCTGCCGTGCGGCCATCTGCTGTGCTGCAAGTGTGAGTGCTCTCCCTCCGTTTCATCCCTCACTGAGTCATCTTTCACTGCGTTGATCTCTGTGGCATCTCTCATTGTGCCGTATCATTGCGTCACCTCTCATGTTCTCATGTCAATGTGTGATCTCATACCGTGTCATCTCTTCTCGTCTCACCTCACCCTTCCATCCGACCAAGCTCAGCACTTTTACACACCATATCACCCCACCGTGTCATTTCAGAATTGCATCCGACCGTTTCATCCCACCATGTGATCCCACCATGTCATCTCACCATGTCGTCTCTGCAGGCACATGTTTACTGGTAGAGAGGTCCCCCCAAGCCACCTCCACTGCCAGCGGTGGCACCATGAGGGAGCGGCGCATGCGGTGCCCCACGTGCCGCCACGTGGCAAGGGCATCTGAGATTGCCTACGTGGACAACCGCAGGGACCACCATGGGTACCCCGCTGCTGCCCTGCAGGCGGACGCGAATGAGAGCACAGGTGCTGAGAGATTGGATGCGGTTGGAAGTGGCCAGCAACGTTATGGTCCCTGCCGTTGCGGTTCAACAGTATCATCGGCATCACCAGAAGCAGGGGGGGCGCTGTTAGAAGTCAGCTTGGAGGCACGTGGTTGCTACTGTCGCAGTAACAGCAGTGGTGGGGGCGGTGCAGGGAGGGAGGGGGAGGAGCAGGAGTTGCCATATGAAGTGCGCATGCAGGAGGAGCACATGAGCCTTCACACAGGGTTCGGCACCAAGGTAAAAAAGATTTGGTTCAGGTGTTTCGTACTAAGTCACTGTTGCTGTTTTTAGTCACTGAGGCACTGAATTAGCAAGGCATGCTGTGACGAAAGCCTTTCCTACCTTTCGTTTCCTGTACATGTCTTCCCTCCCGTCATCCTCTTTCTGTCCCTCCTTATATACTCAACCCATGCCACCACATGCAAACCAATGCCAAACCATGCCAACCCATGCCACCCATCATTCTATGCCACGCAAACCATGCCAACCCATGCCACCCATCATTCTATGCCACGCAAACCATGCCAACCCATGCCACCCATCATTCTATGCCACGCAAACCATGCCAACCCATGCCACCCATCATTCTATGCCACGCAAACCATGCCAAACCATGCCACCCATCATTCTATGCCACGCAAACCATGCCAACCCATGCCACCCATCATTCTATGCCACGCAAACCATGCCAACCCATGCCACCCATCATTCTATGCCACGCAAACCATGCCAACCCATGCCACCCATCATTCTATGCCACGCAAACCATGCCAACCCATGCCACCCATCATTCTATGCCACGCAAACCATGCCAACCCATGCCACCCATCATTCTATGCCACGCAAACCATGCCAACCCATGCCACCCATCATTCTATGCCACGCAAACCATGCCAACCCATGCCACCCATCATTCTATGCCACGCAAACCATGCCAACCCATGCCACCCATCATTCTATGCCACGCAAACCATGCCAACCCATGCCACCCGTCATGCTATGCCACGCAAACCATGCCAACCCATGCCACCCATCATTCTATGCCACGCAAACCATGCCAACCCATGCCACCCATCATTCTATGCCACGCAAACCATGCCAACCCATGCCACCCATCATTCTATGCCACGCAAACCATGCCAACCCATGCCACCCATCATTCTATGCCACGCAAACCATGCCAACCCATGCCACCCATCATTCTATGCCACGCAAACCATGCCAACCCATGCCACCCATCATTCTATGCCACGCAAACCATGCCAACCCATGCCACCCATCATTCTATGCCACGCAAACCATGCCAACCCATGCCACCCGTCATTCTATGCCACGCAAACCATGCCAACCCATACCACCCGTCATTCTATGCCACGCAAACCATGCCAACCCATGCCACCCATCATTCTATGCCACGCAAACCATGCCAACCCATGCCACCCATCATTCTATGCCACGCAAACCATGCCAACCCATGCCACCCATCATTCTATGCCACGCAAACCATGCCAACCCATGCCACCCATCATTCTATGCCACGCAAACCATGCCAACCCATGCCACCCATCATTCTATGCCACGCAAACCATGCCAACCCATGCCACCCATCATTCTATGCCACGCAAACCATGCCAACCCATGCCACCCATCATTCTATGCCACGCAAACCATGCCAACCCATGCCACCCGTCATTCTATGCCACGCAAACCATGCCAACCCATGCCACCCGTCATTCTATGCCACGCAAACCATGCCAACCCATGCCACCCATCATTCTATGCCACGCAAACCATGCCAACCCATGCCACCCATCATTCTATGCCACGCAAACCATGCCAACCCATGCCACCCATCATTCTATGCCACGCAAACCATGCCAACCCATGCCACCCATCATTCTATGCCACGCAAACCATGCCAACCCATGCCACCCATCATTCTATGCCACGCAAACCATGCCAACCCATGCCACCCATCATTCTATGCCACGCAAACCATGCCAACCCATGCCACCCATCATTCTATGCCACGCAAACCATGCCAACCCATGCCACCCATCATTCTATGCCACGCAAACCATGCCAACCCATGCCACCCATCATTCTATGCCACGCAAACCATGCCAACCCATGCCACCCATCATTCTATGCCACGCAAACCATGCCAACCCATGCCACCCATCATTCTATGCCACGCAAACCATGCCAACCCATGCCACCCATCATTCTATGCCACGCAAACCATGCCAACCCATGCCACCCATCATTCTATGCCACGCAAACCATGCCAACCCATGCCACCCATCATTCTATGCCACGCAAACCATGCCAACCCATGCCACCCATCATTCTATGCCACGCAAACCATGCCAACCCATGCCACCCATCATTCTATGCCACGCAAACCATGCCAACCCATGCCACCCGTCATGCTATGCCACGCAAACCATGCCAACCCATGCCACCCATCATTCTATGCCACGCAAACCATGCCAACCCATGCCACCCATCATTCTATGCCACGCAAACCATGCCAACCCATGCCACCCATCATTCTATGCCACGCAAACCATGCCAACCCATGCCACCCATCATTCTATGCCACGCAAACCATGCCAACCCATGCCACCCATCATTCTATGCCACGCAAACCATGCCAACCCATGCCACCCATCATTCTATGCCACGCAAACCATGCCAACCCATGCCACCCATCATTCTATGCCACGCAAACCATGCCAACCCATGCCACCCATCATTCTATGCCACGCAAACCATGCCAACCCATGCCACCCATCATTCTATGCCACGCAAACCATGCCAACCCATGCCACCCATCATTCTATGCCACGCAAACCATGCCAAACCATGCCACCCATCATTCTATGCCACGCAAACCATGCCAACCCATGCCACCCATCATTCTATGCCACGCAAACCATGCCAACCCATGCCACCCATCATTCTATGCCACGCAAACCATGCCAACCCATGCCACCCATCATTCTATGCCACGCAAACCATGCCAACCCATGCCACCCATCATTCTATGCCACGCAAACCATGCCAACCCATGCCACCCATCATTCTATGCCACGCAAACCATGCCAACCCATGCCACCCATCATTCTATGCCACGCAAACCATGCCAACCCATGCCACCCATCATTCTATGCCACGCAAACCATGCCAACCCATGCCACCCATCATTCTATGCCACGCAAACCATGCCAACCCATGCCACCCGTCATGCTATGCCACGCAAACCATGCCAACCCATGCCACCCATCATTCTATGCCACGCAAACCATGCCAACCCATGCCACCCATCATTCTATGCCACGCAAACCATGCCAACCCATGCCACCCATCATTCTATGCCACGCAAACCATGCCAACCCATGCCACCCGTCATGCTATGCCACGCAAACCATGCCAACCCATGCCACCCATCATTCTATGCCACGCAAACCATGCCAACCCATGCCACGCATCATTCTATGCCACGCAAACCATGCCAACCCATGCCACCCGTCATGCTATGCCACGCAAACCATGCCAACCCATGCCACCCATCATTCTATGCCACGCAAACCATGCCAACCCATGCCACCCGTCATGCTATGCCACGCAAACCATGCCAACCCATGCCACCCATCATTCTATGCCACGCAAACCATGCCAACCCATGCCACCCATCATTCTATGCCACGCAAACCATGCCAACCCATGCCACCCATCATTCTATGCCACGCAAACCATGCCAACCCATGCCACCCGTCATTCTATGCCACGCAAACCATGCCAACCCATGCCACCCATCATTCTATGCCACGCAAACCATGCCAACCCATGCCACCCATCATTCTATGCCACGCAAACCATGCCAACCCATGCCACCCATCATTCTATGCCACGCAAACCATGCCAACCCATGCCACCCATCATTCTATGCCACGCAAACCATGCCAACCCATGCCACCCATCATTCTATGCCACGCAAACCATGCCAACCCATGCCACCCATCATTCTATGCCACGCAAACCATGCCAACCCATGCCACCCATCATTCTATGCCACGCAAACCATGCCAACCCATGCCACCCATCATTCTATGCCACGCAAACCATGCCAACCCATGCCACCCATCATTCTATGCCACGCAAACCATGCCAACCCATGCCACCCATCATTCTATGCCACGCAAACCATGCCAACCCATGCCACCCATCATTCTATGCCACGCAAACCATGCCAACCCATGCCACCCATCATTCTATGCCACGCAAACCATGCCAACCCATGCCACCCATCATTCTATGCCACGCAAACCATGCCAACCCATGCCACCCGTCATTCTATTCCACGCAAACCATGCCAACCCATGCCACCCATCATTCTATGCCACGCAAACCATGCCAACCCATGCCACCCATCATTCTATGCCACGCAAACCATGCCAACCCATGCCACCCATCATTCTATGCCACGCAAACCATGCCAACCCATGCCACCCGTCATTCTATTCCACGCAAACCATGCCAACCCATGCCACCCATCATTCTATGCCACGCAAACCATGCCAACCCATGCCACCCATCATTCTATGCCACGCAAACCATGCCAACCCATGCCACCCATCATTCTATGCCACGCAAACCATGCCAACCCATGCCACCCATCATTCTATGCCACGCAAACCATGCCAACCCATGCCACCCATCATTCTATGCCACGCAAACCATGCCAACCCATGCCACCCATCATTCTATGCCACGCAAACCATGCCAACCCATGCCACCCATCATTCTATGCCACGCAAACCATGCCAACCCATGCCACCCATCATTCTATGCCACGCAAACCATGCCAACCCATGCCACCCGTCATTCTATGCCACGCAAACCATGCCAACCCATGCCACCCATCATTCTATGCCACGCAAACCATGCCAACCCATGCCACCCGTCATTCTATGCCACGCAAACCATGCCAACCCATGCCACCCATCATTCTATGCCACGCAAACCATGCCAACCCATGCCACCCATCATTCTGTGCCACGCAAACCATGCCAACCCATGCCACCCATCATTCTATGCCACGCAAACCATGCCAACCCATGCCACCCATCATTCTATGCCACGCAAACCATGCCAACCCATGCCACCCATCATTCTATGCCACGCAACCATGCCAACCCATGCCACCCATCATTCTATGCCACGCAAACCATGCCAACCCATGCCACCCATCATTCTATGCCACGCAAACCATGCCAACCCATGCCACCCATCATTCTATGCCACGCAAACCATGCCAACCCATGCCACCCATCATTCTATGCCACGCAAACCATGCCAACCCATGCCACCCATCATTCTATGCCACGCAAACCATGCCAACCCATGCCACCCATCATTCTATGCCACGCAAACCATGCCAACCCATGCCACCCATCATTCTATGCCACGCAAACCATGCCAACCCATGCCACCCATCATTCTATGCCACGCAAACCATGCCAACCCATGCCACCCATCATTCTATGCCACGCAAACCATGCCAACCCATGCCACCCATCATTCTATGCCACGCAAACCATGCCAACCCATGCCACCCATCATTCTATGCCACGCAAACCATGCCAACCCATGCCACCCATGCCACCCTTTCCATGCCATGCAAACCGTGCCCACTCCATTTTAGCTGGATGCGGTAACGCGGCGGGTGTTACGGCTACTGCGCAGCGACCCATCAGCGCGCATCATCATCTTCAGTGCATGGAGGGAGGTGCTGCTGCTCGTGCAGCACTGCCTGCACGCCAACGCCGTCCCCACCGCCTCCGCCTTCTCCCACCGGTGCACCGCCCCCCCTTCCTTCCCTTCCTGCCCTCTCGCCCTCGACCCACGTTTCCTTCCGCCCTCCTCGTTCCCCCCTCTCGCGCCTACACTCTGCTCCACTCGCCTCTGACCTTGCACTTCTTGCTCTTTCTGGTAGTGCTCGTAACACGCTAGGGAGAAACTTCTGCTTGCCTGTCTGTTTGTGATTCAAAGCATTACAGTCTGAACCGCCACCCTCACCCATCCATCTCTCGCCAGAGTGTCCTCTCTTGTCCATCTCATGCCGTGGATTGTTGTGTTTTAGAATCCTCAAAAACAATCTCATGCCTCGTTCGAGCCCTGTGTTTCTTCCGCCACCCTCCCACTTCATGCCTACCTACCTACCCCTCCAGGGAAGTGCCTCTGGCGTTGAAGCGCTTCAGAGAGGCCACCCCCCCAGCAGCCCTTTCTGCTCGCCCCTCCCATAAACCCCGCTCCAAGCGCCGCAAACGCTCCCTCGCATCTCCCCTGCCACCTGCCATCCCACTGGCCGCTGCTGCTTCAGCCGCTGCCACAGGCGGGGTAGCAGGGACAGTGAGCAGTGCGCAAGGTGGGGAGGGTGGTGGGAGGGAAGCGGGAGAAGGCGGGGGCGGGGGAGTTGGGGAGCAGTGTCGTGTGCTGCTGCTGGTGGTGGCGGTGGGGGGCAACGGGCTGAACGTGGTGGAGGCGCAGCACGTGGTGTTTGTGGAGCCGGGGCTCAATGCTGCCGCCCACGCGCAGGCTGCCAACCGCGTGCACCGCATCGGCCAGACCCGCCACACCTTTGTGCACCGCTTCGTGGTAAGAGACGACTTTTGAGATGTCTCTAAAGCCAACCGCGTGCACCGCATCGGCCAGACCCGACAGACTTTTGTGCACCGCTTCGTGGTGAGTGGGTGATGCGCTATCAGGCAGGTCGTGCATTGACTTGTGAGTGGGTGCTGGCCTGTCTCCTCCTTGTCTTTCCTTCCCCCCTTCCCTCCTTGTCGCCCCCGCTCACTTTCACTGCCTGCAGGTGCACAGTACAGCGCAGGAGCCCATTCACAAGATGGCGTTTGAGGCGACTCAAGAGTCAACTTCTTGTCGTTGCATAAATCCCTTGCGCTTACCTCACCTCTACATGACCTGCAGGTGCATGGCACGGTGGAGGAGCCCATCCACGCCCTCGCACGCAGCCGCTGCTGCAGCTGCAGCAGAAGCACGGATGCAAGCTCATGACTTGTGTTTGAGTCATCTCCTTTGCTCTCTCTGCATGGATCCTGCCTGCAGGTGCATGGCACGGTGGAGGAGCCCATCCACGCCCTCGCACGCTCCAAAGTCCCTGCTGCAGCTGCAGCAGAAACACGGATGCAAGCTCATCACTTGTGTTTGTGTCAACTCCTCTGCTCTCTCCGCATGGATCCTGCCTGCAGGTGCATGGCACGGTGGAGGAGCCCATTCACGCCCTCGCACGCTCCAAAGCCGCTGCTGCCCCCCTCGCCACCGCCCACAATACCGCCAGCCCACTGTCCTGCCGGGACAAGGACTCGCTCACCCTCGCTGACGTCACCGCGCTCTTCCCCCAGGCCTGCCCTGCTGGAGATGGCAGGGCGGTGGAGGAACGGGTGGTGGCGATGAGGGGTGGAGCAGAGGGGGATGCAGGCAGGGAGGACCGCGAGAGGCTTGCTATGGCTGCTGCTGCTGCCGCAGAAGCACGGATGCAGAAACAGCCTGAGTGACAAGTATCGTGGCTCATGTACGCGTAAGGTTTTTCTTCTTCTTTAAGCACAACAAAGAATGGATTGCTTGTACACCACACTGAGGGAATGCTTTTTCAATCAGTTGGGGACATGAGGCTCCAAACCGCATTCGATTGGTAGGCGTCGCACAAGTATTACACAAGAGTAAAGTGTGCATGCCAATCCCCCATTCCTTTCCCATCCTGTTCTTCCCCCTCCATCGTGATCATCCCATCCCTATCGCCTTACCGCATCCCATTCAGCCTCGCCTTCTCCCCATCCAGATCACTTCCCATCCCGTCCGCATCCCCTGGTTTTGTTCATCCATGTGAGCCAACCGTTCGCCCCCGCCCATCCTGCTGGTCAGGGCCCACGTTATCAGGGCAAAACATCCTGATTACCCTGAATTCAGGATGCACTTCTGTATTTACCCTGCAATTTCAGAATAGTCATAATTTTAACCCTGAGGTCACAGGATGTTTTTATGTGAAATGCCCTGGAGTTTCAGGATGGCCGTAGTGTTCTTCCCTGTAGCGTCAGGATGAATGTCGAGGCCTGCCCTGACGCGGATTTTGGTGGGGGGCGGGGGGGGGGGGGGGGGGGGGGGGGGGGGGGGGGGGGGGGGGGGGGGTAAGGGGGGGTGTTCCGTTTCGGGGGGAATTTTTTCCCCGAGGATTTTTGTCTCCGTTGAAATTTTCCCCCGTGTACGTTTCCCGCCTTCGCACGTTCTCTTCCCCTTGACATTTCCGATCCCCCGCTACACCAGCCAAGCCAACCCCACCCCATCACCCACCGCCAAGGCAACTCGTCCTCTGCCTGGCTAGCTCTAGCTGGGTTTCTCACGCTGACGTTCAGTAGCACTCCATCCAACACCCTTGCAGTGTTGCTGTTAGAGTAGCAGCAGCACTAGTAGTGAAGTTCGGCTGCGGCTGCTCTGCTATGCTAAACAGAGTCTGGTCTGGTCTGTTTGTGATAAAATCAGAACCCTGAACACTACAATTTTTGCCCTGACAGGTCAGGATTATTTTCTGCAAAAGCCCTGACCAATCAGGAAGGCTCTGAAGATTTGCCCTGAGAAATCAGGGCATTTTTTTGGATTCTAGAAAAGTGCCCTGAGGGCTCAGGGTGTCCCAAAACCTAGCACGGGCCCTGCTGCTGGTCACCTCTTGGGTCCAAGCTCTTTCTTGTATTCTTCTCACACTGGGTGCCTGGCCATACAGTACTTTCCGTCTGGCCACTGTTGGCCCGTTCATTTCCTTGGTTCTTCTTGATGCCTGGCGGTTGTACTGAACTCCAACCCAACGCGTTTCCTCCTTTGGTGTTCATGTTGTGTAAATCGCATCACGTGAAAACATGGCAGAGAATATAAAACCTGTTACAGAAATGATGACTGTGCAAAAAAACAAAGAGCAAGCAGCTGCAACACTAACAGAAACATTGCGTGCAATAAGCGACATCACCGCCATAAATCTCACACCCATTTCCCTGCGTCTCCTAGACTGGCTGGACTTTTATTCGCTCCCTTCAGCCACCGTGGCAGCTGCATTATTAGATACCACTCTCCACACTCTAGCATTATTACTACCATGGTTGCCTCGGCGTGGATGCTCGTTCCAAATTAGAAGTTGGTGTCGCTGCCGTAGATATCCCCAGCGCGCCAGTTGCTCGGAATGACGCCTTTCAGCTCCACCTGCTTGCCGCCCGTGGAAGTCACGCGCACGCTCACCCTGCTCCCCGATTTCACAATGTCCTTCGCGAATGACCGCTCCCACGTCGCCCCGTCTTTTCTGTTCATGCCCTTCCACGAGCCGCTGCCTTCCTTGGCTATCTCGACCCCCTTCACGCCTTCTTTCTTCGCCGCTCCCAAAATCTGAAGCGCGAAACTGTCTGGGTTGGCATACGGCAAGAGTCTAACCCCCATGTTGACGCCTCTAGGGCAGTCCACGGGTTTGTATGTAACCTCCATTTCGCCCCACGGGTTGAGGGAGATCACGTTCCATGCAGGATTGTTGAGGCCGAAACGGTCATCGCCGCCGCTGGGACCGATCGCGCGCACCGTCACTTTGCCGCCGTTGCAGCTCGAGCCACGCTGGTTCTTACACGTAACTTCGTAGCATAGTCCGCAGCCCTGGCCGCCGTTGAAGATCTTGCGGGTGTCAAAATGCTAGGCCAAAACGAGAAACAGGCAAGAAGGGTTTTGACTAACAAGCATAGGGATACATATATGCAAACCCTATAAGGGCTGTACTCGCTATAGAGTACCCCACTGCAGGCTAGACAACCATCACATTCTGACACACCCCCATAGTCAAAGTGGGGTACAATCAACATAACAAGCAGACAGAGCAATAGTTCACAATTATAAGCAAAGCAGAGGGCAAGTGAGGAGGAGGAGAAACTGTGGGAGCAAGAAGATGAGAGGCGACGGCTGAAGCTGCAGACACACAGGCAGCAGGAGTACGCCGCACTGACGCTACCAGGCTAAACCCGGACTACACGGCGACAGGGGGTCGCAGCTGGCTCGCTGTGCTCCCAGGAGTGCACACACTGTAGCTACCGGGCGCAGAGCCCCGGACTACTCAGGCCACAGGGGGTCGTGGCTCCCTGGACTTCAGGCGCTGCGGACGACAAGTCGACGGCCTCCTCTCAACTTCCCCCAGCTGTCCCACCCCCTTTTTACACACCCCCTGCTGTTCCCCTAGCACCGCTCACACTACACCCCCTAGCGCCACTCCCTCGGCTCCCACACACCCACCCCCCTCAGCGGCAGCTGCAGCAGTGGGAGACGGAGAAGGAGGAGGAGGGGAACGGCACTCAGTGGCTTCACCCCCATACCCCTCACCCCCAAACCCTAATTCAGGAGAACGGGCTGTAGGAGGGGTGGGGCGCCAGTAGAAGCACGGGGGACAGTGGGGAGGGCAGGGGCAGCGAGGAACGGGCCGCCCACGGGCCTGGCATAGCCGCCCGAACCGCGCGCAGGCGGCCCGAGCCGCGCGCGGGCCTGGCGCTTCCCGTACGGGCCGCGCGCGGGCCTGGCGCAGCCCGTACGGGCCGCGCGCCGGCTGTACGGGCCGCGCGCAGGCCACGACGGGCGACGGGGGGCGACGCGCGGGTCCCCGTCGCCCGTCGCAGCGCCTCCCGGGGGCGACGCGCCGAGTGACGGGCGCGCGGCGGGAAGAAAAAATCGCTGCGCGCCCGGAGCGCGCGGCAGGCAGGAAACAGCAGGAAACAACAGCGGAAGCTTCTGGTGGGACCACCCACAGGATCGACCCAGGAGGGTCGACCCGCTCTGATAGCATGTCAAAATGCTAGGCCAAAACGAGAAACAGGCAAGAAGGGTTTTGACTAACAAGCATAGGGATACATATATGCAAACCCTATAAGGGCTGTACTCGCTATAGAGTACCCCACTGCAGGCTAGACAACCATCACATTCTGACAGCGGGCACCTGCGCGACCAAGCCGTTGTCTAAATATGGACTGTCGCGGAAGTTGAACTGGCTGTAGCACGAGCCGTCGTTGTCCAGGTTGGAGGATGTACCCGTGATGGCGTCGGCAGGAGTGAGGGCGAGGGCGAGAAAGACGAATCCCACGCACAGCAGGCCGCCGGCGACTCGGACAGTGGAAAGGTGAGCCACCGGAGAATGGAGCAGAGGGAAGAACTGCTGAGAGCTGGGCTGGAGCCGAGGAAGGCTTTTGAAAGCCAAACTGGAGCAAGCTGGATATGAAAGAAATTCGGCGCTTGGAAGGCAGTGCTCGACTTTGATGCTGATAGAGTGAAGAAGCAGGTGATTGAAATAGTTGCGTGACTGGCGAGAGAGGTGTCGAGTCGCGATGTTGTGAATTTCCGGCCCAGGATATGAAAGCGTTTCTAGTGAGTGGGGCTGTACAGCGGAAATAACAATAATTTCGCACACTTGGCGCTGTGACGGCATGGCGATGGTGCGAAAACATCTGTAACGACTTTCGTGGGTCAAAATTTGGTTACGTGAGGAGATCAACGAACTGCTACGAAAATTCAGACTGTTCGCGGAAAATTTCGCCAAGACTCGCCTTGCTTCCGTCGGTTGCGGCTGCGTTTTGGGGAATAATTCCCAGGGCATGCAGTTCTCCGTGGTTCATGGCGGCGAAGCAGGGAAGCTGACGAGCTGGCTGGTTGTGGGGTGGTTCGTCAAACGAGCTGAATTACCAGGTTTGAAGTTGGCATGGACCGTTGCACACTGTTATACTTATCAACGACAACAGAACTCTCCAAATTCAGCAACCAGCCAGAGGGTTTGGGGTTGATGCTGAACGGTAAGCTACACGGGCAGCAGAACATCAATGTGTAGTTGAATATTTCATACAATGAAGGCAACTCCACATGGGCCTCCTAATTTGCCCCTTGCTTCACCCCATCAATTCACCTGCTTCACTTAACCCCTAAGGGCGCATCAATTCCCCATGTTTTCGCGAAACTGCCAAATGGCCGGTATATTCGTCGACCATTTGGTCGAATGTCCCTTCGCGAATTTCGGCCACATGGTCGACACCCTGGTCGCCTCTGAAACGGCCCGTTGTGTCGCAACTGCAAATTTGACATGTTTGGAGGCCGATTTGCAGGCCGCAATACCGAAATTGTAAATTTTGCAGACGGGCGACACCCAGCAAACGTGCGACACCGTCGCATACTTGTACTCAGTACAGGAACAATGCAAGATGGTACAGCGGTGGGCAGGTTGTTGTCAGAATGTTATTATTGTCTAGCCTGTAGTGGGGTGCTCTATAGCGAGTACAACCCAGTTAGGGTTTGCTATATGTACCCCAACTGCTGCTAGTGAAACCCCTCTCCTTTCAATCATTCTTGCCTAGTCTTTTTGACATGCTATCAGAGCAGGTCGACCCCCTTGGGTCGATCCTGTGGGTGGGCCCGCCACCTAACTGCTTCCGCTGCTATTCTGCTTCTCGCACGCCTCGGGCGCGCGCCGTCTTCTTCCTGCCGTGCGCTCAGGGCGTACGGCGGTTTTCTGCCCGCCGTGCGCCCCGAGGCGCGCGGCGGTTTCCTGCCCGTCGTGGCGCCCCCGGGGACCTGCGCGCTGCCCCCCGTCGTCCTCCTCCCGTCGCCTCGTCGCGGCGCCCTGGGGGCCCGCGCGTCCCCCCCCTCCCGTCGCCTCGTCGCGGCACCTTGGGGGCCCGCGCGCCGCCCCCTCCCGTCGCCTCGTCGCGGCGCCTAGGGGGCCCGCGCGCGGCCCCTCCCGTCGCCCGTCGAGCCGCCCTCGGGGGCCCGTGCGCGGCCCCCCTCCCGTCACCCGCCGTGGCGCCCTCGGGGGGCCCGCGCCCTGCTTCTTCGTGGCGCCCAAGAGCCACCCCGCTGCCTCCCTTTCCCTCCGTGCCCCGCCCCTGCTGTTTCCCGCGCTCCTGCCTGCGTTAGGGTTTGGGGGTGGCGGGCATGGGGGTGACCGGTGTGGGTAACCTGCGGCTCCTCCTCCTCCTCCGTCTCCCACTGCTGCAGCTGCCGCTGAGGGGGGTGGGTGTGTGGGAGCCGAGGGTTTAGGGTTTAAGGGGGGTGCCGTGGAAGTGGAGCTAGGGTGTCAGCAGGGGGTGTGTGAGAGGGGCGTGGGACGGTCGGGGGAGGTTGCGTGGAGGTAGCCGTCGTGACGCCAGCAGCGCCAGTAGTCCGGATGCCCTCGCGCGTTTCGGTAGCCCAGCGAGCCTGCTTCGCCAGTCGCCTGTGGGTCCGTTGCTCCTGTGTGTGCTCGTCGTAGCCGCGGAGCCAGATACTCCCGTAGTCCGGTGCCCTCGTGCGCTCGGTAGCCACTGTGCGCGCCGCTCCTGTTGCCCGTGTGTCTGCAGCTTCAGCCGTCGCCTTTCATCTTCTCACCCTCACAGTTTCTCCTCCTCCTCACTTGCCCTCTATGATCACCTCTAGCTTTGCTTATAATTGTGAACTATTGCTATGCCTGCTCATTGTACTGATTACACCCCACTTTGGCTATGGGGGTGTGTCAGAATGTTATTATTGTCTAGCCTGTAGTGGGGTGCTCTATAGCGAGTACAACCCAGTTAGGGTTTGCTATATGTACCCCAACTGCTGCTAGTGAAACCCCTCTCCTTTCAATCATTCTTGCCTAGTCTTGTTGACAGTTGTCTCACGTTCTGTGCTGGCGACAGAGAGCGGTGCGATAGGGAACTGTCGTACGGGCGCGTCGGATTCGTGGCCGTTGTCAAGTCGACTGTTCTGTCGGATCCTTGTCGACTCGCTGAACGGCCGTTTTTCCGGCCTGCAGATTCGCGAGGTTGGCGAAAGTCGTACAAATGTTTGCGATTTTCGCCAACTGGTTACTTTCGCGAATTCGGCCATTCGGATCCATCTGAATTTTGATGTTTGGGGAATTGACGCGCCCTAATGCTGCCCTGTCTGTAATGCTTCATCAACTTGCGCCCCTGTCTGTATCAGCCCCATCTAAATCTTGCCAAGTCAGGCCAATCAAATTACCGTAATGTCCCCTCTCCTCGCTCAAACCACGACATTTGCTGCCATGCACATCCCAGTCTGCATCACCAACCCCTCCATCGCTTCACCGCCCTCTCCCATTTCGCCATCACCTGCCATCTCCACCTCTCCACCCATCATTCCCTCCTCCTCCACCCACTCGTCCAGAGGGCCCTTTGCATCCAACCCTTCCCATGCCTCCATCCCCGCTACAAGCAGCCCCTGTGCCTCCACATGAGCCTCCTCAACGGCCTTGTTGCCCGCACTTCCTTCCGTTTTCTGGCACAAGTCATTGCTTTTGTAGCCTGCACCTGCAGCACTGTCTGTCCCGCTGTCCAGTGTGCTTCCTATCAGCACTGTCTGTCCCGCACCTGTAGCATCCCCTGCGGCCGCCGCTGTAGCATCATTTACGGGGGTTGCTGTAGCACCAAGTGCAGGCGTCACTGTAGCACCAACTGCTGCACTCTCACTCGGCCTCTGCAACAGCAGTCCTTGATGCTTACAGGCACCTCCTGTGCTCCCCACTGCACCCCTGCTTCCGGTATTGTTGCCTGCAGCATCACATTGTTGTTCTTTCCCCTCCTGCCTTGCCTCCACCTTCGTCTGCCCTTGCTGCTGCGTCTGCTCGCGCCTTGTCTTTTTCTGCTGGTGCTGCCGCACAAGGGCCTGCAAGGGAAGGTCGTCATCATAATCCTCCTCTTTCACTGCACCCTGCTGCTGCTGATGCTTCTCACGCTCACAGTCAATCTGCTGCGACGTGGCAGCCGTTTGAGTGACTCCGCGAAGCACAGCACTTTCAGGAGACTTCAGAACAGCAGCAACAACGGGCTGTCTGCTCGCCTCAAAACCCCCAAACCCATCAGCCTGCAGAACATTCTGCAGACCACTCTTCAGAGCATGCGAGTGCTGTGAGGCTCGCTGCTGGCAGTAGCGGTGCAGGCGGGAGCACCGGCCCTGCTGCCGCCCCTCCCTCAGCCGCAGCGCAATGCGCCTCTTCCACTCCTCTATGCTCGCCACCCATCGGGCTGCCTCCACCCCGCTCGCAGGCTCGGCGGAATCGAGCCTGGTAGGTTCGGAATCAGGCTCATGCTGCGGATTTAGTTGTTCAGAGCCTCCGTCTTTCCTGTCTGTTTCTTTCCCAACTTCTTCTGCCTTTGCTTTCTGCTGCTGTCTCTGCTCGTATTGCTGTAACTGTCTTTCCAGCTCTGCCTGCTCCTCACTCTCCCCTGCACACTCTCCTCTACCCCCCAACTCCTCATCCCCTCCTCTCCTCTCCTCCTGCTCTCTCTTCTCCCTCTCCTCCCTCTCCCTCCTCTCCCTCTCCCTCTCTGCCTCCTCTGCTGCAGCCAGCACAGGGTGGCACGCCTCTTCTCTCTCCACCACTGCAAAACGCACTCCCCGTTTCCTCCACCCCATTTTCTTCACTCCCTTACCATCCCCTCTCGCCTCCCCATCCGCGCCTCCCCCCTTCTCACCCTCTCGCCCCGCCTCCGCGCTCTGTTGCCCCCCACCAATGTGGGCGCCTGTGAGGGAGTAGTCGTGGCGGAGGCGGTCGCAGAAGTTTAGCAGCTCGCCGATGCCCGTGCCCCGCACCCATCCGTACCGCTCCAACCGCCCCGCCTCCTCCTCCGATAGATCCACTCCCACCTGCACGGCAGCAGATGAGGGATGGAGGAGCTGAAGGAAGGTTGGAACTGGGGAGGCACTAAGGGAGGGCTGGAATAGATGCTACGGAAGGGAAAGTGGTAAGCAGGAGTCTGCTTGACACTGCGCTCCTGCCCGTGGTATACAAGGATATTGGTTGCTGGATGGTAGCACACACAGAGTACAACACTGAATGCTTGCGAACAAGTGGAAAATAGCACCAAGCCGTTATGAGACGCTTGAAAAAGAAGCATCAGAGCAGCCCAGCATGCTGAGCAGCTACTCTAAACGTGACGTTTGAAGCGCCTCATAAGCAGACCAGCAAGATAAGTCACCACCGACGTGGGTGATGACGTCGATGCACCTTCTGAGACGGCTCAAAGCGGTTGAAAAGAAAGCACTTCGAACCTCTAAGCCCACAGCAGACGAGCAAGTTGACGGGCATGCAAACCTCGAGAGGCAGGTTGGTGATGACGTCGATGCGCGAGACCGAGGCGGCGCCAAAGACAGCGAGCAGGCGCTGCAGCTGCCAGCGCACCGCCACCCCCGCCTCCAGCTCAAAGAAATAGGTGGCCTTGCCGTACTCTGGTGCCTCCAGTATGATCCTGGCAGGCAGTCGTGTGGTGGGTGGGGGGTGCGGCGGTATGAAGGTAGGTGCAGCGGTGGGGCTTTTGAGTCGACTCAGAAGTCACCACCCCTCGATCTCAAAGGAATAGGTTGCCTTGCCGCCGTAGTGTGGCGCCTCCACTATCATCCTGCCAGCCAGCAGTGCAGAGTGTGAGGGGTGCCGGGAGGAGGGGTGTAATGGCAGGTGGGAGAATGAAAAGGCTTGGGAGGGATAGTGAAGTAGGTTGCCTCGCCGCTGTAGTCTGGAGCCTCCAATATCACCCTGCCTGGCAACGGTGTGGTGGGGGGTGCAGAGGAGCAGGGGGGGCAGGTATAGGGGGTGCAGGGAGGAGAGAAGATTGAAAAGACAAACGATTTTTGAGTCAATTAGAAAAGGTTGTAAGGCAGGCAGGAGGTTGGATAGGCTTGGGTTTGAGGAGGGTGAGAAACAGGCAGTAGGACTGGAGGCCCCTCACCTGTCGTGGTTGCGTGACGTGTCATCTCACAGGCTTTGTAATCTCACCTGTTGTGGTCTGGGAAGACAAAGAGGAAGCAACGGATGGCCCCACACCAGCCCCACGACACCTGCCACCCCGCCTGCTGCACTGCATGTGCCTGCGGGGAAATAGGGAGCGGAAAAAGGTGGGGGAAAGGGAAAGCAGGGAGGAAGGGGGGAAAGCAACGGATGGCCCCACACCACACCAGCCCCACGACACCTGCCACCCTGCCTGCTCCACCGCGTGCGCCTGAAGGAAGAAAGGGTTGGCAGGGGGTGAGGGAAAGGGAGGGGGAAGGAGAGGGAAGGAAGGAAGGAGGGAGAGGACGAGATAAAGGTGGGACAGACAGAAACGGTGGGACAGAAGGACAAACATTTTGACACACACCCTCCTTAAGATCTGTGCTGCTACCTTACATCGCTATCTTAAAGGTTATCCCCAAGGCAGAAGCCAAGGAGCACAGCACATCAGAGGGCAGTCCTCCATCAGCCAGGCACAGGCACGCACCTGGGTGATGAGAGCAACAAGGTTCTCCACGCAGTACGCTGGGCGGTTCCACCCTGCTGCTCCGCCCCCTGCCCCAACCACCTGCCCTGGCAGCCGCTCCCACGTGTGCGAGTACAGCTGTGGGGCGGTGGGGGTGGGGAGGGATGAGTAGAGGGATGTGGGCGGGCTTTTGAGATGTCTTGCTGGAGAGAGATGAGAGGGATGGAGCAGGAGTGTGCTTGGGAGAAAACAGCATTCTTGCGCCAAGCCTGATAGCGCTTGCGCCATTATAGGCGCCTCTCTTTACAGGGACAGATGCGGCTGTAAGCATGTTCCCATGAGTGCGGCAGGGAGAGCAGACTAAGGAAGAGAGGGAGTTTTCCAAACATTTCCGACATGTCTGGCAGAGAGGGCAGAGCAGAGAGAGTACCCGGGAGAGAATCTTCTGGAGATCGGAGAAATCAGAGGGCACAGCCACTGGGGCTGATGCTGCTTCTCCTGCTCCTGCTGCTACTGCTGCTCGTGCTGCTGCTTGTGGTGTTGCCAAAGCATCACCACCACTACCAGCACCACCATCACCACCACCACTAGCGCCCACATCACCAGAGTGAGTGCGCTCGAGTTCCATCCAAACGCCAGGCCCAGCACCCAACCCTCCATCGCCCCACTCCATCTCACACCCTGCCTGCCCCTCGCTTTCCACCCCATCCACCCCCATCTCCCCCGTCCCCTGCCCTGCCGCCTCGCTCTTATCAGCCTCACCAACCCTGTCACCCGTCTGACCGGCCGTCTGCTCTCCCCCCTGAGAGACGGTGTCGTTGGCTGGTAGTGGTGGTGGTGCTACTGCTGCTGCCTCTGCTGGTTCTGATGTTTCAGCTGCTTGCATGAAGGCGAGGTCAAAGAGCTGGATGCCTCGCAGCAGCCCCCTCTGCTGCAGCACCTGCAGCAGCCCCGGTGCTTCTGACTCCAATGCTTCCGCTGCTGTGCCGTGGCTGATGAGAGGGAGAAAGGAGGAGAGGGGCGGGGAAGGGGTGGACGGGTGGGGAGAGATAGGAAAAAGGTGGAGAAGGTGTTGTTGGGAGGAACACAGAGGGCTGAGCAGCGATCTGGCTACGATTGGCTGGCTGGGGAGACGATAGGTTAAAGCGGACAAGAGCAGAGGCAGAAGGGGAAAAGAAGTGGGGAGTGGGGAAGAGAGGAGAGAGAAGTGGCAAAACAATGAGCTTGCAGAGGAGAGACAGAGAAGCAGGAGGGAAGAGCACAAGAGACAGAGGCAGAGAAGGGGACATCACAAAACACAGCTCACACACGGCAGGCTCACACGCCTCACAGCTCACCAGCAGGCTCACACGCCTCACCAGACAGCTGCGGGTCAGTGTGCTCACCTCTTTGCTTCCTTGGCCTCGCTCGTCCCTGCTTCCGCTGCTGCTGCTTTTGCAGCTGCCTTCCTCTTTCTCTTCTGCTTCCTTTTCCATGCTGCCCCCTTGCCCTGTCCCTGCCCCTGCCCCTGTCCCTGCCCCTGACCCTGTCCCTGCCCTTGATCCTGCATCTGGTCGTCACAGCCCCCTAGTCCCTCATCCATCGCACCTCCCAATCCCTGCCTTGTTCCCCCCACACCTCCACCATCCCCATCCCCCATCCCGCCCTCACGGCCTCCTCCCTGGCACTCTGCATCCCCACCCACGGCCTCCATTTTCACTGCCACCCTGCACTCTTGCACGCCCGGCACGTCTGCACCTGCCTCTGCTGCTGCCTGTGCTGCACCTGCTTCTGCAGTCACCGCTGCTTCGACCTTTATTTCTGCTCGCGTTGTTGCTGCTGCTGGTCCAGAGGCTCCTGGCTCACCAGCGGCACCACTGTTCAGCAGCATCCTGCCACCATCACCATCTCTCATCACGCCCATTCGCAACCCTTCCCACTCCTCCGTCTCCTGCTTTGGCCTTCTCTGCTCCCCCCCAGCTAGACGCCCTCCCTCCTGCCCCAACCCCTCCCCACATGACTCCACCCTCGCTCCTTCCCCTTCTCCCGCGCCCCCTGACCGTGCCTGCGGCCCTCCTCCCCTGCCATCCCTCGCACTGCCAGCTGGCAACACAGACGCTGCAGGATGGGTAGCTGGCAACGACGGGAGATTCTCGACAGCAACAGGAGCAGGAGGGGGAGCGCCAGGAGCATGTCCCCCCGTGAACGCCTCGCCTTGCCCGCTTGCGCCTGCACGACCCCAGTTGAGCCCACACGAGAGCATCAGCTCCTGCCTCTGCCTCTTCGCCTTGGCCCTCTTCTTCTTCCTCCCATTCCCCCCTGGCCTCCCCGCATCCGCACCCCCCTCCCACCCAGCCCCGCCCTGCTGCTCCTCCTTCTTCTGCTCCTCCTTCTGCTGCTCCTCCTTTCGCTGCCCCCCCTTCTGCTCCTCACCCCACCCCTGAGCCAAGCCACTCTCCCACATGCCCCACCCGGACCTCTCCTGTGCACACGAACCATCCCCCCTTGCCCATCCCTTCCCGCTCTCTTCCCTGCGCCACTGGATCTCCCCACCTCCTCGCCCCCATCCACCCTCGCTCGCTCCTCCTGTCGTCCCCTCCCCATCCTCTCCCCATCCTCCCTCTCCTCCCCCTTTCCATCTCTTTCTCTCACCTCCTGATTCCTCCTCTCGTTCACTTCCCCATCCACCTTCCCCTCCCCCACCCCATCCCTCCTCAAATCTTTCTCTCAATTCGGCCTTCTCTTCCTCCGCCCATCCTTCCTCTCTTATCCTGTTCACTTCTCCCTTCCCCCATCCCCATTCTCCCCCTCCTTCCTTTTCCAATCCTCCATCTCCCCATCCCCTAGCTCCTGCCTGTGCTGAACCCCCCTCTCCCCATCCCCCTTCTCCCCGTCCCCCCTCTCCCCATCCCCCTTCTCCCCGTCCCCCCTCTCCCCATCCCCCCTCTCTTTCTGCCCTTCCCCATCCCCCCTCTCCTTCTGCCCTTCCCCATCCCCCCTCTCCTCCTGCCCTTCCCCATCCCCCCTCTCCTTCTGCCCTTCCCCATCCCCCCTCACTCCCCACTCCCCACCCACCTCCTCCACTTCCCCAGGCCTCCGCTCCCCCTTCTCCCCATGATCCACCACCCCTTTTCCCCCCATCACCCCCTCGCAACACCCTTTCCTCTCCCCCCTCCCGCCCCTCCCCACCTCCCTCAGCCAACTCTCTCACATTCACACGGCCTGGAGAAACCTGTGCAAAGGACCTCCGAGAACCCCCCAAAACCCTTTCCTCACTCCCATTCCTCCCCTCTCCTTCCATTGCATCCTCCCCAGACTCCTCTCGCGCTCCTGCGCCCCACATCACAGCCCTACCCTGACCTTCCAAGCTCATCTTCTCCTTTATTTCTGCCTGTGCCTCTACCCCATCGACCCCGCCTCTCTCTGCTGGCGCCCCAACGCCGCCCACAACCGCCTTGTCTTCCCCCACTACATGCCCCACCTGGGTGGCCCCACCTCCTGCGTTTGGCTCCACCTCAACCTCCTCCATCTTTCGCTGCTCCTCGTCCCCTTCCTCTGCAACACCACCTGCAGCAGCTTCCCTGGCCATTCCCGTTCCCTCCCTTTCTCCCAGCTGCTCCTTCCCTTCCCCTGCAAATCCTCGCCTCTCCTCCACCTTCTTCCCATCCCCTCCCAATTCCTCCTCTCTTGCCCCCACCCTCTCTGCTCTTGCCCCTCCATCCCCACCCCCCTCCAAGCCAGGAAAACCAGCAGCAGCACCAGCAGCACCAGCAGCACCAGCAGCACCAGCAGCACCAGCAGCACCAGCAGCACCAGCAGCACCAGCAGCACTATGATCTAAGCTCACATCACCACCCCCTTCACCCACACTCCCGTTACCTCCACTACCTTTCCCCTCTTGCAACTCCACAACCTCCTCACTGCTCCCCGCTCTTCCCACATCCAAAGGCCTATCACCACCTCCCCCTTCCACTTTCCTTTCAGTCGACCCAACAGCCACAACTGTTCCTTCATTCGTTGCGACCGCATCCCCTTGCTCCTTCTCTTGATGCATTCCCTGCCCCGGTCCCTGCCCCTGCCCCTGCCCCTGCCCCTGCCCCTGCCCCTGCCCCTGCCCCTGCCCCTGCCCCTGCCCCTGCCCCTGCCCCTGCACCCCTCCCCCTTGCGCCGCAGTCCACCCAATGGCCTGCAGGTGCAGGCGGTGCTGCGCCCACGCCTGCTGCAGAGCCCTCTCGCGCCCCGCCAGCTCCCTCTCCACTTCAAACACCTGCCTCTGCTGCGCCGCCACCGCTGCCTGGGGGAGTTCCAGTTTCAGAAGTAGGTTGAACAACAAGGGGGAGCAAGAGATTGGATGGGTCCGTCGCTTGTGAACGGCATAAATGCATACAGGAGTTTGTTTGGTACGCGAATGCAATATAGTGATTGGGATGTATGCAATGCATGAGCTTGGTTGGTATGGCAACGCAATGCAAGTCGTCAAAAGCCCATTCAGGTCACAAAAATACCAGAAGAAGTTGACAATATCTCACAGCCAAAGGATCTACAGATTGGCTCAGGAACTATTGAAGCAGTCGGATTTCTTTCACCACCTTTTTGACCGGAAGTGTTTACTCTCACCTACTATGCACACTTGCCTCTTGCCATGCCCCCGCAGCTTGCCTCTTGCCATGCCCCCTCAACCTGCCCCTTCAACCAAGCTCGCATTGCTGACCAGCCTTACTCCTCCCGCTGCACATCCCTCACCTGGTTTGCCTGTAGCTGCTTCTCCCTGCGGCACAGATCAGCCACCTGGAATGGCATGGAGGGACGGGGAAGGCAGGGAAGGGGAGGGGAAGGGAAGGGACGGGAGGGGAGAGGAATGGAGGGAAAAGGGGTGGATACTATCAGTTTGCTTGCAAGTCTTTGGCAAGTTGACAAACAAGAGAAGAGGTCAAGGGAAGAGAGAAGTAGACAGGGTGTGAAATAAAAAGTACGGGTTCTGAGGAAAAACAAAACACCCCAACCCATTACCATCACAAGCAGCTGTGCCGCATCCACCCACACAGCCACGTAGACTGCTCCCTGCTGCCACATGCTCTGCTCGTCCATATACTTTCAATCAAACACTCTGCTTGTCTCGCTCTCTGTCTCTCACTCACCTTTGCCTCTCACTCACCTTTGCCTCTCACTCACCTTGGCCTCTGAAGCCACTTTCCCGCCACCAGAAGCAGCCGTGCCTCTCTGCTTCTGCCACTCCACCTCTCTCGCTCTCACCTTCTCCTCTCGCACCCTCACTTTCTCCTCCCTCTCCTTCACTCTCTCCTCCCTCGCCCTCACTCGCTCCTCCCTCTGCGTCACCCCTTCCTCCCTCTCCCCCACTGCTGCCTCTCTGGCCGCCACCGCTGCTTGCTGTGCTGCCATGGAGCTGAGAGAAGGGCGGAGAACGGGGCAGTGGAAGGGGGAGGGGAGGGAGGAGGAAGCGGGGAGGGGAAGGGATAGGGGAGGGGGTTTTGAGACGTCTCTAATCACTGCTGCCTCTCTGGCCGCCACCGCTGCTTGCTGTGCTGCCATGGAGCTAATAGCGGGGAGGAGAGGGGGGAAGGAGCAGGGAGGTCCGCACACACGCACACACACACACACGCACGCACGCACGCACGCGCGCGCGCACACACACACACACACACACACACACACACATATGTACATATAGACACACACACCCTGCATGAGTCGTAGCTGTTATACAGGCAAGTTGCAGAGGCCTAATCTTTAACAAATCAGTTGCTCCCTAGTTGGTACTAAACAGTACCTGACGCAAGCACGTTGCTACCTTATTACCAGGCACGGCACTTACTCGATCTGCTGTGCCATGCTGGCCTGCAGCTGCTGCCACTGCCACGCCACGCCCTCCATCCCGCCCTCTCCACTGCCCCCAGCCACCGCGTCTTCACCAGCCGTGCCCTCCTCGTCGTCGCAACCCATCCGAGCTGGTGGGTGGGTGGTGGCATGTGCATGCAGGGACGCGTTTGGTTGGCAGGTGATGGGGAAAAGAGCTGGGTTGGTGTGGTTGCGATGTGACAGAGCATTTGACAACAACCGGATGAGACAAGGATGTCAAAGCGATACTACAATCACAAGTGCCCATCCTTGCTGTGATGTTACAGGCTGTTGTGTCCAACCTGGACGAAGACTGGAAATTATTGAACTATTAAAGCCAGCCTATAACTTATCCGTCATGACATGCGTACGGCGCCATATCTATCCGCGTTATAAGCCTACAGCGTCAAACAACCTCAACAGTACCTGCCGCCAGCACGTTGCTGGGCGGGTTGGCAGCGTCAACGGGAACTTGGACTTGCACTGGCACGGCCACCACAACCCCATCGCCAGCGCAGCCTTGCTGCTGCGCCGCGTTCTGCGCAGCGCAGCTCGCGGAATCCTCTCTATTCCCATCCTCCGCCTTTCCGTCCCCCCTTTGCTGCTGCAGCTGCTGCTGACACAGCGGCTGCGACAGCACCTGGCGTTGCTGCGCGGGCTGCTGGTTCCGCTGCCCGCCTCGCCCTTTGTTCCTCTTGCCCATCCCAGCCTTTCGGAGACCCTGGTAACGGCGTCTAAGTATTTCAAGTGACGTCCTCGACGTCTCAAGTAATGTATGGAAGCCTGTAGAATCGACTACTAGACGCCTAGAGCAATACTATAATCCTTGTCTTGACGTCTTAAATAGCGTCTAGACGCCTAAAGTTGCGTCTAGACGCCTAGAAATACGTCTTCACGCCTTACGTAAACACGTAGTCACTGCCAGTAGTAGTAGCCGAACAACGTCGTCGCCACACGCACTCACGCCTAACCCGCGCATAACGAAACCAAGATCGTCTGTTGACTTCAACGAAGAAGACTAAAGAGTAACTTGTCTTCACATTACTCTGTCATGCTATCTAGAATGCATACCTAAAGAGTGTGGGGCTCGAGGGAGTGTCCCAAGCGGGAATTCCCAAAGAGTATTTCCAGCCCCTCGATGTGTCCGAAGTGAATCCGTCCGTCATCCGTCGAGGTCAGCATCCAACCCGACGTCCCGCAAATGACGGATGGCCGTCGTTCGGCACTTCGATTAGGACACGCCCTTGAATAAAAATTGTTCATGTTTTATAAAAAAATGTAAAATGACACCCCGATTTGATTGGTTTTATCTAGTATTCAACTTGTTTGATGGTACATATATTTCACCTTGTGTGCGGTTCCTCATGTATGATAGCATCTTACTGGCTATGGAAGGACCACCAGACTTGTTCACGTTAATCCATTAAAGTTATGTAATTGTAAGCTCCCATCCGCCCAAATGCATCACATTTCCTTCCGCCTCCCTGGCTGCTGCAGGGGATCAGCCTCGAGAGAATAAAATGCTGACATCCTCCAAAGTGAGTGAGCTGTGATCATATGCGGCTGCCTTGCTGGCAGCACGCGAGGTGGAGAGGTGAGATGCAGAAGTCTTGGAGCGGTGAAGGGCATGGATGGATTCTTCCACATGTCCTGCACCTGCACGCATTGACAATGAACACATCCTCAAAATGAAAATACAACGCCTTACAGTGGAGCATATATTGTAAACATAAACTCACGGGCTGCGTACAGTTCACTGGATGGCTATCAACAAACAGGGCGGCTCACAATGAAGCGGTGCAGGAAGGTCTGGCGGGTCTGGCCGATGCGGTGCACGCGGTTGGCAGCCTGCGCGTGGGCGGCAGCATTGAGCCCCGGCTCCACAAACACCACGTGCTGCGCCTCCACCACGTTCAGCCCGCTGCCCCCCACCGCCACCACCAGCAGCAGCACACGACACTCTGCACTCCCTCCTGCTCCACTGCCACTGGCTGACAGGGCTGGCGGACGAGTGGATGGTGTGAAGCACTCCAATGCAGAAGGCACCTCCCTGGTGGGATGGGAGAGGCATGAGAAGGCAACGAATGCTGACTAGAATTAGAAGATGCGCGGGGAACATGAAATGAAATTCTCATTGAAATTTCCATTAGAGGAGTCGCTCAAGGAACCAGTTGGTGCAGTAGAGGAGTAATGTTCGTGGGAACAATCAGACGAGGGCTATGGAAGGAGGAAGCACTGGGAGTGAAGTGAGGAACGGGATTGAGAGGAAGGTAGAGGGAGCAAAGGGTTTGGAAGGAACTGCTGAGAGCATTGGTGAGAGGTGGACAAGGAAACACACCGAGGTTTGAAGGCGGATGCAGTGGGGACGCCGTTGGCATGCAGGCAATGGGCGATGAGGACTAGCACGTCCTTCCACTCGCTGAACACTATGACTCTGGCCGATGGGTCCGAGTGCAAGATATGTAACACTCGGCGCGTTACTGCGTCCAGCTGCAGGGATGAATGTCGGGCATGTGGGGGATAAGTGGAATGGAAAGAAAGAAGACAGGATGGACGAAAACAAGAAATATGAGAAGTGTTCGTAGGGTTTGACATGACGGCATACCTTTGTTCCAAAGTCCGTGCAAAGACTCATCTCCTTCTCTTGCATCTGCACCACTTCAGGCACCATCTCCTCCTCTCCCTCCCTCCTTGCAGCACCCTTACCCAGCCACAGACTCGCATCCACGGCAGCAGAAGCAGCAGCAGCAGCAGCAGCAGCAGCAGCAGCAGCAGCAGCACTAGCAGCAGAGGAGCTGGAAAAGGCTGCGCGGTCATTGCGCGTGGTGTTCTCCACGTCTCGTCTCCACATGGGGCACTGGACTCGCGGCTCCCTACTGCTGCCAGAAGCACTGCCCGTGATGTTGCTGGTTGCAGTGGGCACTGAAGAGGCCCTTACCACCAGAAGCTGTGTGCCTGCAGAGGTGACACAGTGAGATGGCATGGCGAGGGATGACACGGTGAGATGTAATAGTGCGAGATGACACCGTGAGATGGCAAGGTGAGAGATGACATGGCAACCAAGTCTCAGGCAGTAAGGGTTTCAAGAATTGCTCACAAATACTTTATCGCAACGATTCCAAAACACATTCCAACTCGTAAGAAACAGACACGTGGAGAACAACATGTAACAGAACAGAGCACAATTATACAAGCACTATTCTTCTTTGACAAAATGAAAAAAGCATTGCGTTACAAGCAGCAGGTCACTCACAGTCACAGCACAGCACATGGAAGCATGGGAAGACTGAGAACTTGTTTGTGAACGGCTCCCGGCACACCACACAGATCTCCTCTTCTTCCCCTTCTCCCATCCCCTTCTCCCCACTCCCTCCCACTTCCTCCCCTTCCTCAACCCCATCAGCCACATGCTTCCCCTTCTCCGCCTTCCTCTCTTCCGATAGCAACCGCAGGAACCTCAGTCTCCCCCGGGAGTCCTCAAGCTGAGCCTTCGCTGCCAGCCTGTCCTTATTGAGCCGCGCGTTCGCTTTTGTCAGCTTTCGTGCCATGTCCATAGGTGAGCTGGCAGCTTGTGGTTCGTCCACTTGGCGAAAGGGGCAGGCTCGTTTGGCAGCTGCTTGCATTCTGTGCAGTGCACGCAGCACAGCCCGCTGGGCCTTGGCCCAAGCTCGGGCCAACTGAAATTCGTTCTGCATCGTCTGCCAGATGTGAGAGCATGGATGATGGCAACGGCCGGAAGAGGAAGAGAAAGAGCACATGTAGGGGAAGTGGAGCTTGATGATATGGGTTGTATTTAACGGACGGTGGGACGAGTCGATTAATGAGTCTACTCAAAAATTGACTCTATCACTTTTGACGACATTGGTTGTATTCAACGGATGGTGGGACGAATCGATTAATGAGTCTATTCAAAAATTGACTCATCACACTTGACGATATGGGTTGTATTTAATGGATGATAGGGGTTGTAGTGGAGGAATGAAGACATGGGTTGTTGGAAATCGAAGACGGTAAGAGTGTGGTGTTGACAAGACGGGTTTAGAGAATGGAATAACAGAGGTGTGGAGAGTAGAATAACAGAGGCGTGGAGAGTAGAATAACAGAGGCGTGGAGAGTAGAATAACAGAGGCGTGGAGAGTAGAATAACAGTGGTGTGGAGAGTAGAATAACAGGCGTGGAGAGTAGAATAACAGAGGCGTGGAGAGTAGAATAACAGGCGTGGAGAGTAGAATAACAGAGGCGTGGAGAGTAGAATAACAGGCGTGGAGAGTAGAATAACAGAGGCGTGGAGAGTAGAATAACAGGCGTGGAGAGTAGAATAACAGAGGCGTGGAGAGTAGAATAACAGAGGCGTGGAGAGTAGAATAACAGGCGTGGAGAGTAGAATAACAGAGGCGTGGAGAGTAGAATAACAGAGGCGTGGAGAGTAGAATAACAGGCGTGGAGAGTAGAATAACAGAGGCGTGGAGAGTAGAATAACAGAGGCGTGGAGAGTAGAATAACAGAGGCGTGGAGAGTAGAATAACAGAGGCGTGGAGAGTAGAATAACAGAGGCGTGGAGAGTAGAATAACAGAGGCGTGGAGAGTAGAATAACAGAGGCGTGGAGAGTAGAATAACAGGCGTGGAGAGTAGAATAACAGAGGCGTGGAGAGTAGAATAACAGAGGCGTGGAGAGTAGAATAACAGGCGTGGAGAGTAGAATAACAGAGGCGTGGAGAGTAGAATAACAGAGGCGTGGAGAGTAGAATAACAGAGGCGTGGAGAGTAGAATAACAGAGGCGTGGAGAGTAGAATAACAGAGGCGTGGAGAGTAGAATAACAGAGGTGTGGAGAGTAGAATAACAGAGGTGTGGAGAGTAGAATAACAGGCGTGGAGAGTAGAATAACAGAGGCGTGGAGAGTAGAATAACAGAGGTGTGGAGAGTAGAATAACAGAGGTGTGGAGAGTAGAATAACAGGCGTGGAGAGTAGAATAACAGAGGCGTGGAGAGTAGAATAACAGAGGTGCATGGAGTGTACAATGGGTTCTGTTATTTACGCCCATTTCCAGGCCGGCCAAAATAGGAAGGCCGTCGCCATCCCATGACCAGCCCGGAGCTCATACCATGATGCCTCCATGTCAAGAACGACCAAACAACATTACAAAAAAAAAAAAACTAGAATAATAATAGCATGGAACATGTGGGCGTATCTCCAACTCACCTTCAAAGCTTCCAAAGAGTGAAATGCAGCCGCTTCCAAAACGCCCCGGTCCTCATTTCCAATGATGCCATCAGGCAGTGATGCGAGCACCCAAGGCAGAATAGCCAAACACCTTGCCGTGTCTGCTGGTTTCCACTCCACCGAAGCTCCTCCCTCTCCTTCCTCCCCTGCGCCTCCATTTCCCCCCCTCCTCCTGCTGCCCCTGGTGCCCCTCCCCTTCGTCTCCTGCCACCCTGCTGCTGTGGCTGGAACCTGTGGTATGTTGCGCACTTCCCGTGCCGATTCGGACATGGAAATAGGGCCGCGAGATGTAGAGGGAGCAGGAAATGTCGTGAAGGTAGAGTGGGATGGGAGGAGGCGATGAAATCAGGGGCTGATGAGAGTTGTAGTTGGATAAGACGGCGCCCGTAACGCTGGCAGGGTGGGATGGGATGGTGGGACGACAGGGAAAAATGGTCTGAGGATCAGAGACATACGAGGGAGAAGAGAACCCCTTTGAGAGTCGAGAACGACAGAGAAGAGGATCAGGGCAGCAGAACAGCGTGAAAAGGGTTTAAACTTAAAAGTGAAGCACTGCTCGCTGGAATGTTTAATAACAAAATACTGCCCAGCTCACTCTGGAAGAAAGGAAGAAGGATGTAGCGAGCTTCAACATCCCTCCTCCGTGCGCCTCCACGTGTATCGATTTTACTTTTGTGAATTATCAAAAGTAAAATCAGTAAAATCAACTTTTGAGAATTCTCAAAAGTAAAATCAACATGTGCGTGACCAATTGCACACCCATCTCACCTCAAGCACGTCCTGCGCGTGGCAATGCATGCAGAGCTCACTGCCTCCTCCCCAACCTGCTCCCATCTCGCCACCCACTCCACCAGCCAAAACGCCCTCAGTCCCGCCCTCCTCAGCCACGCCTTCCTCCTCAGCCCCGGAATCCTCGGCCCCACCCTCCTCTTGCCCAGCACTGCAGCGTGCACACGAGCCTGCCTGTGCCACGAGACTGCCTCCCACGGCCTCCCCTTCCACCCTGCTGCCCGCCTCCACCACTCGCTCCAGCGCTTCTTGCCTGCCTTTCATCAGCCCAGCCACTTGCACTCCAAGCGCAACAAGCAGGCCGCGCAGGGTGGGGAAGCTGAAAAGAAGATGGCAGGAAAGGAAGGGCGGATCATGGGGTGCAGTGAGGAGTAGCAAGCGAGGTGTAGGAAAGAGCCTTGTGCAATGCAAGAGCACGATTCCAGCAAAGCAGTCAACTTCGCCTTGACAACAATCTTTCGGACGTCACCAAAAAACACTGACGCTCACATGACTGTGCAGAGGAACTGGAGTCCACATGACAGTAGAGAGGACTTGAGAGCAAGACACACCTGCGAGTGAGACGCACCTGCGAGTGAGACGCACCTGCCAGTGAGTCGCACCTGCCAGTGAGTCGCACCTGCCAGTGAGTCGCACCTGCCAGTGAGTCGCACCTGCCAGTGAGTCGCACCTTCGAGTGAGACGCACCTGCGAGCAAGGCTGGTCATGTTCCTCGTCTCCACGCTGCTGCACTTATCATCATCCAGTAGCGTGTGCTGCAAGTGAGTGATGATGCTGCCTGTGCGCACTGGAGGCACAGAAGACCGCAGTGCTGCGAGGAGAGCGAGACATGACCGTGAGGAGGAGGTGGAGAGGAGAGCTGACGCCCCATGGGCTTCCACCTGCACGTGCGGGATGTAGACATGCGTGTGTGTGCACATGCAGAGGGAAGCAAGTGGCATGAGGGTTCAGAGTCTGAACTACAGACATGCATACGAGTGACAGACATGAGCTGCACCGCAATGATAGAGATGAGAGCAACGTCCCAATTGGCATGGGTGCAATGACACCCTGTATGACCAGCACACAGACCCTTATACTCTCTCACATGTGTGCTCACATACTCTTACAATCACACCATCTCACATACTCTCCCATATGACTCGCCTGTGAGTGCATGTCCTCGAAGGCCTTCTTGGCAGCAGCAGCACGAGCCCTATAAGGAGCCATATACCTCGCCATCACCTCCTCCATCTCCCCTTCCAGCCTCTCCTCCCTCAGTGTCCGTGCAACCACCACACCTGTTCCATCGCCACCTGCCTCCACCTCACTGCACCCCTTCTTGCTCCGCGCTCCACCACAGTGCCCGTGGCTTCCTCCCTTGGCGGAGGGCAGCAGGGCGAGCAGCGAGTGCAGGTTGTGCAGCACGTGCAAGCGCTGCAGGAGGGCGTTGCGCTGGCGAGCGCGGCCAGGGGCGGAGAGAGACATATCCGCTGTACCTGCGCCGCCCTCATCCCCATCTGCATCGCCATCCCCGTCGCCATTCTTGTGCTGCACTCCATCCGCATCCAAGACTCGCAATGCATCGCGGTAGAAACCTACTGCCTGCACCGCCCCGGGGGCCCACTGGTCGAAGTTCTCAAAAGCGCGGTGCGAAGAAGCAGTGGAGTGGAGAGACGAGGAGAGGAGAGGGAGTGCCGGGGCGTGGAGGGCGTGGAGAGCAGCAAGGCTGTTGAGGGCGGAGACGAGCAGTCGCTGCGCTTCTTCCTTTTCCACACACGCCTTCTCCAACAGCACCTGGCACATACGCATGTGATGTCACACGCGCCCATGCATTTGAAAGGGAATTCAGGGAACAGGATTTGGTGTGAATAACAAAGGAATCTGTCGCCACATGAATAGGCCGTCTTCAATAGAGGTGAGGACGCGCATACAGGAGAGCTTCGCAAGCAGCAGCCAGTGACAGGCTTGGCCAACGCATGGCACGCAGTCGAGAAATCAGCTCCTATCAAGCACACTGGTCAGGTTGCTAAAAGGAGGGTTTCAGATGATGGGCACATATGACTGGACATGCGCATATGGGCGGGGCACCAAAGGCAGCACATATGACTGGACCAGACGGGCCAGCGATCTATTTCACCATCTCACATGTGTAAAATTCCCCCCTCCACCTCTCTAAAGTCTTGCAAACCTCGCAGCCTCGCTCACCTTACTTGTCTATCCACTTGCCTGCTTCTCACTTCTTCTCTCTCGCATACTTCCTGCACTCTGCTCACATCCCCTCCTCGCACACACACCTGCCGCACTTCATCCATGGAGTCGACTCAAAAGTGACCCATGCACTCCATGGATGAAGTGCGGCAGGTGAGTCGGCAGGTGGGTCGCTTTTGAGTCGACTTAAAAGACTTCTGACGTTGAGTCGACTCAAAATTCAGTTGTAGCCCGCTCCCACCCTGTCCTCCCACACACACCTGCCGCACTTCATCCATGTGCATGGGTCGCTCCGAGTTCAACCGCCGTAGCCCCCCCGAGCCAACCTGCGGGTGGCAGCAGGCCTGCCGCAGCAGCAGCAGCGACGCCAGGAAACTGTTGAGGTCAGCACGGCACGCATTCGATGGCAGTAGTGACCGCAGCGACTGCCCCTGCCTCCGCTGCTCCCCTCCCTGCTCCTCCTCCTCCCCATCCCCATTCCCACCTCTGCCATGTCCTGTTTCTACCCTCCCTCCCCCTCGCTCCCCTAGCCTGAGGACGTGTTTCGCGCGTTCGGCGCACTTGGCGTGCTGCTGGCGGTAGAAGTGCGCCTCGATGGCGCTGAACCGCAGCACCGTCAGCAGCTGCCGCTGAGGTGGCAGCGCTAGCTCGTCCGCCACGTCAGCCTTGTGATGACGCCACATCAGCTGCGACATGAGGGCCAGCAGGGACTGCCATTCTGGCATGCATCCATGCTGCCATGGCGTTACGAGGGGGCGGGTTGCAGGGTTGGGGGAAAAGGGGGAAGAGATTGGAGGCAGGGAGGAGGAAACAATGGCAGTACACCGAACAGACGTGGCTTGGGCTAACTGTAATAGATCGGATTAAATTCGAAAGAATATCACAAGCATAGCACTGAGCGAGCCAGTAGCTGCGCAGATGACACAGTGAGATTGTGGACAGGACTGAAAGCCACCACATTGACCAAGTGCCAATTGCACCATTGACCTGTGTGACTGCACTCCCAGCACCCATGAGACCCACAGCAATTTCTCAGCCCAAGACCCACACTTCAGCAGGCTCACCTCAATAGGTTTCTCGAAAAAATCGCACCACCACTGCGGCAGGTCAAATGGCGAGGCACGGAGGAACCGAAGCAAGCTCTGCAGGTCCGGGAGGCCTTTCTGAATGGGAGTGCCCGACACGCACCACCGGTGCTGCGCTGACAGGCGGGCCGCCATGACTGCTGCTCTGGAGGTTCCGCCCTCCACCAGCTGCGCCTCGTCCAGACACACCCGCCACCAGTGCAGACGTGTGAGGGGAGTGGGGCGGGCCTCGTACCTGGGGCAGTGTAGCAAGGTGCGGCCATGAGACGAGTGGTGCATTTTAGTACCAACGCAGTGAGTCAGGCGCGTAGGGCGCTTCTGGTAGCTAAGAACCAAAAAAAAAAAAAAAAAACGATTTGGACACACATAGCAGGTATGGAAAGGGCAGCAGGTTGACGTGGCAGTAGTGCCAACCCCTTCCTCTCGTGGCTTAACTGTTGGCCCTGCCTGTCGTCTACCAGCTCAAAATTACAGCACCCTTACGCCCAGCATCCAGAACTCTCCATACTCCCATGCGTTCCCCCTCACCTCTTCTTATGCCGCAACACTCTTGAGGGCCCATCGTGCCAGATGTCGCCACTGAGCGTTTCATATGACACCAGCACTATGTCAGCAGCTGCGAGATCATGAGGCGTGACTTCATCCACCTCCTCCCACACCGCACTGCACTCCTCCACATCTAGCTGCTCCCTTCCCCCCCAATCCACCTGCCTCTTCCCCTTTCCACCCCCTCCTCGCCCTCCCTCACGCCCGTCTCCTGCCTTACCACAAAAGGCCCCCTCTATCCCCTCATCACCCGAGGAGGCAGGCGAGGAAATGCTGAGAGGTGAGTCCGGGGAAGGGTGAGAGGCGAGGCTGGGGAGGGGCGGAAGGCGAGGCGCAGTGCGGGGCTCTTGACGCCCTCATACATGAGCACGCTCACTGTGCCTGCACGGGTGTTGCTGGCAGATGGGGAGATGGGAGTTGAGGGGGGGAACGGGGTGCAGGGGGGAGGTTGGGTTGGAATGAGTGGAGAGACGGACTAAGTGACAGGCAACTGAACCAGTGCGGTAGTCCCTCAACAAGCCTGGCTGGCCTGTTCCTCAAATAGCCAACGATTCATGTTTGCTGTACCTGCCATTCATGTTACATTGTGAGGAACCTTTGAGAGAAATGTTTTAACGCAGGGGAGGCAGTACCGATGTTGGATGGAAAAGGCTTGATTTGGCAACAGGTCGCAGGGAAGAACGATATGCAAAGAGGGGCTGGCTGAATTAAAATCAAGGTAGCAAAGACAGCTGCATAACAAAGAAAAGGTGTCCATGGCTTGCCCTGCACATACCGCACAATCTCGTCTCGCCACTGGGGAAGAATGGCCGCCGGACACACGATGAGCGTGCTCCCACACGGCGTCAGCACACGCCCCTCCTCCCCGCCCTCCATGCCCTCTCCTTGCTCCCCCGTCACCACCTTAACGCCACTGCCGCGCCCATTGCTGCTCTGTGCTGCCGTCCTCTCGCACCCCATCGTCCCTTTCCTCTTCTTCCTGCTCCCCTCGCCCCCCTTCTCGCCATCCTCTCCCTTCTCGCCTTTCTTCCCCCTCTCACTGCACTGTTCAGATTACCCTTTTTTCACCACTTTAGTCTTCTTCCCAATAACCCCTTGCTCCGTCTCTCTGTCCCCACTGCCCCCCCAGCAGTGGGCGAGGATGCAGGCAAGCACCTCAACGGTCTTACCTAGCCCCATCTCCTCAGCCAGAATGCCACCTCTCACTGCTCCTGCCACCGCACCCACCCATCCGCACACTCCACTCACTGTCCCTGCACCGACCAAGCTTGAGCTCGCCGAACCTGTACGCGCCAAAACTCTGTGTGCTGAACCGATACGCGCTAAACCTGTGCGCGGCAAACCTGTGCCCATTTGTTTGTCGTTGCTGACGGGATGAGCACAGCAGCTGGAGCGAGGGAGGCGCACAAAGGTACCTCTGGACGACACATGGCAAAGGGGGGGGGGAGGAGGGGATGAGGACGAGTTTGAAGCAGCGATAGAGCAAACCTCGGGGAAAAGGGTGGGCATGACAACAAGAGGGGGGATGACGATGAGAGAACGAATGATAAGAAATCAAAGCAATGCAAGGGCTGTCAGAGGACAAACGCGGGGAATAGCAACAGGTTTGGTGTGGACTGGGGGGGATAGCAAAACTTGTGGTGCGGAAAGTGGGGGAATAGCAACAACTGTGTGCACTGAAAGAGGGGGGATAGCAACAGTTTTGGTGTGGAAAGAAGGGGGAAAGCGACAGGTGCGATGCGGAAAGAGGGGGAAGGGAATAGCAACAGGGAACATGAATACTCTTAATTGACAGATACCCACTGGATATGATTGTAGAGCAAAGTGACGTCACGATCGCTTCCCTCTGCTGCCACTTGCCGCCACAACGGATGCTGCACTTCAGTCCACCTGTCACCGCGCCTACCATCCCCGCATCCCCCGGAATCGCCCCGCTCCCTCTGCACCATCCACGCCACAGCTCTGCTCTGGTACGGCCTCAGAGTGGGCAGCAGGTTGGGTGGGCTTGAGTCAAGGGACGGAAGGTGCCTGGGGGCGGCATGGGGGGAATGCAGAACATCACAGAGATGGATGGATGGATGCAATAGTTGTTGAGATCACAATGATTTAAAATAAGCCTGAGCCAACCTCGGCTTCTCATACTGGCCCACGCACCTACAAACACTAGGTTCTTGGCAAAAGAATTATTTTTTATATACTTGCAAAGAAAGGCATGATAGTAAGCGCGTGAGAAGGAACCGGCAGCAGGATGGTTTAGATTAACGATTCCAAAACGAATGGTAGAATGGTGCAGAGAAAATGGAGATGAGAGGCACGGAGGCCACGAGAGTGGTCGGGAACTACTAGTTGCCATCGTGTGAATCGATTACTGCATATGCGTCAGATGTGTATGACAAGAGAAGGCAACGGAAGGCAAGGACGAGTAGAGCAGTCAACGAAGTCACCTTACCCACTCACCTGCAATGGCATCACCCCACCTGCTGGGCCGCACAGCTCGGTATAGTTGGTCAAGATTGAAGCCACTGCCACGTGGCAGTCCGTCATCCACGCTGTCATACGCTGCTCCATCAGCATGGCAGGAGCACCCGTGTAGGGCACTGGCACATCCATGAGGCTCGGGGTGCATCACGGCACGTGGAGCAAGGCTGCACATGAGCGCGCGTATGTGATGCACGGGGCCAAGGCTCCGCCGCCATTCATTCAGCAAAGGGGCGTGCAGAGGTGAGCACATGTGCTCCAATGGCACCTCAGGGACGAGACTCCGGGGGACGCCCAGCAGAATGCGCACAGAGCCGGCGACACGCTCTTCTAGTGGCTGAGTAATGCAGGGCGCGTGTAATACTCCGTGGGGTGTTTCAATGCCGAGGGGTGTGACAGTAACGAGGCCCCTCTGCGCGAGGTGCAGGAGGGCCTGTACGGCAGACGGATGGTGCAGCTCCTTTATGTCTGACGCCATCGCCGACACGACTATCTCCGCTCTCCCCTCTCCCTCACCTTCGCCTCCCATCCATTCATCGGCCTTCCCCTTCCGCGCTCCCCGTCCCCGCGGACGCACCACGTGTAGCATGACATCCTCCGCAGCGACAGATGCCAGCTGCAGCCGTCCCGACGACCACGACGGGCCTTGCCCGTCACGTGCTACCTCCCGTACACACACGCACAGCTCCATCGCGCTCTCCTCACACCGCTGTCCCCCGTCTTCCTCCATTCTTTGCGCGGTCGTCCGTCCGTTGAGCTCGAGAAAAGCTCGCAGCACTGCGGCATGTCCCCAAGGATCGTCGGCGCTAGTACTATCGCGTAAGGCGCCATTAGCAGCAGCAACAGCAACGGAAGCGGCGGCAGTGGCGGAGCGACAGCCGGCGCAGCGGTGCTGGATGAGGACGTGCGAAGAGTGGGAGGGCTGGAAAGTGGACGATATAAATGGCTGTGGCGACGGCAAGCAAGCACCTTCGCGGTCCCCTGATTTGGCCCAAAACAATATCCGCCAGCCGTCCGCTTCGCCATCTGTCGTTCTCAACGGATCATCAGATGCAGGGTCGGAATCAAGCAAAATAGGGTTACTTCTCGATGATCCGCTACGCGAAGTATCGATTTTTTTCTGAATAGCCATGACGTATGCCGTCGCGGACTGGAGTTGCCCAAAGCGGCAGGTTGTGCGAATCCCTCGCTCTTCCAGGCTCCTCGCTGCTGTAAACCGGAAACGATCCTGCTTGATTCACTCCGTCCCCTCTCAGGTGCTTCAGTCGAGCCATCACAGGAAACATCCCAAGGTCGCGACTCGATATAATCCCGAAACTTTCAGCTAGAGTTCCGCTATCCACAGAGAAACGAATCCAAGGACTCTCTGAATCCAATCCCAAGGTCGCGACTCGCGACTACCAGTAATGGCGTGAGATTCGAAACACAAACAATATCTGGGGATAGCGGATCCTTGCAGCACCCGATGGAACCAGCACCAACATCTAGGAATGCACAAACATAACTCCCAAGAGGGCGACTCGATGTTATGCGGGGATTTCTACATTACGAGTGTAGCGGAAACCGCTTTAGACCAAGTATCGTAGCCTAAATCCATGCACAAAAAAATAGGCCTCTAGTACTGGTAAATGCATAAAAGAAACACGTATACATTCAACAGACAAATTAATAGTATTTCCGCATTTGCACCATTACATACAGTTCAGCTGAAACAATCTGCTAAAATTCTTTAAAAAACCAAGGGTTGCCTGCACATCAACCTAAGCAAACAAGCTCTTGGCCTGCTCCTTGGCCTCAGCATCACTCTCCCCACCACTGAACGCCCCACCATGCTCCGCCGTAAACTTGAGCCTCGTCGTCGGACCACCACCAGCACCACCCACCACAATCTCCGTATCGACCACCACCACATCATCCTCCCCGAAATCCCCCCTCAGAATCCCCTTGGCCAGCTCATTCTCCACCTCGTGCTGAATCACGCGCTTCACCGGGCGAGCACCGTACGCCGGGTCGTACCCGAGGTGCCCCAGGTGGTCGACGGCGGCGTCGGTGACGCGCAGGCGGATCTTGCGGTCCCTGAGGCGCTGCTGCACGCGCTCCAGCTGCAGGCGCACGATGCGCGTGATCTGCGCGGCGTCGAGTGACTGGAAGACGATGAAGTCGTCGATGCGGTTCATGAACTCGGGACGGAAGATGGCGCGTGCTGACTCCATCACGCGCTCCTTCATCACCTGTGGGAACAATGGGAGGGGTGGCATCAAGGAGAAAATGGATGATAAAGCGTGATGAACAAAAGGTGGTGCATTCGCCTCTGGCGACCGCATCACATGGAGGCAGTAACAGAGAGAGGAATGGAGAGGGACAGTAGGAGAATGAAATGAGGTGGCCGTCGTGGTCATGTGCGCACACACAAGCACACACTCACACAGCACAGCACACACTGACCTGGTACTGCACGTCCTTGTCGGCGGCCTGGTGGTCGAGTGCCTGCAGGATGTACTGCGAGCCGACGTTGGACGTCATGATAATCACCGTGTTGCGGAACGACACCGTGCGGCCCTGGCTGTCTGTCACACGCCCGTCGTCCAGAATCTGCCATGCAGGGAAATGGAGAACAGCGGGTGGTGTGAGGGGGATGAGGAGGACAGTTAGGGAGCCAGGACGGATGCAGGATAGTGGGGGATACGAGGGAGGGAAGCAGTTTGTGTAACCATCAGGAACACGCGCAGAGTAACATGAAAGCAGACACGCACGGAGGAACGCCAAGACACAAGCGAGGTAGGGAGGAGCACACAGGCAAGGACAGCCAGCGCACCTGCAGGAAGACGTTGAAGACGTCCCCGTGCGCCTTCTCCACCTCGTCAAACAGCACCACGGAGTACGGCCGCCGCCGCACTGCCTCCGTGAGCTGCCCGCCCTCCTCGTACCCCACGTAGCCGGGCGGGGCACCGATGAGGCGCGACACGCTGTGCTTCTCCATGTACTCGCTCATGTCTATGCGCACCAGCGCCTCCTCGCTGTCAAACAGGAATGCTGCCAAGGACTTGGCCAGCTCGGTTTTACCCACACCTGGGGGGCGCATAAGGGGGGCATGGGAGAAAGGAGGGGAGGGAAGAGAGGGGGGATGTGAGGGGGTGTGATGAGGCGCGACAGGGAGTGCTTCTCCATGTACTCGCTCATGTCGATCCGCACGAGTGCCTCCTCGCTGTCAAACAGAAACGCTGCGAGGGGCTTTGCCAGCTCAGCCTTGCCCACACCTGGATGAGGGGACGGAGGGGAAGGGGAGGAGTGAAGGAAGAGAGGGGGGAAGAGGAGAGGTTGAGGAGGAAGAGGACGGGAAATGAGAAGGAGAGGCACGAGATGAGTAGATGCAACGAGAGCGAGACAGACCAGGCCGATAGACAGTGAAGGACACAGCGAGAAGCAGCAAAACCACAGAACTGCAACTCACCAGTAGGCCCCATGAACATGAAGCTGGCAATGGGGCGGTTGGGATCCGACAGCCCAGCCCTGGACCGCTGAATCGCCTCCGCCACCGCCGTGACGGCCGTCTCCTGGCCAATCAACCTCTTGTGCAGCTCGTCGTCCAGCTTGAGCAGCTTCTCCCGCTCCGACTCCTGCAGCTTGTCCACCGGGATGCCCGTCCACTTAGCCACCACCTCCGCGATGTCGCTGCTCGTCACCTCCTCGCGCAGCATGGACTTGCCCGACTGCTGGTACTCGTTCAGGGCAGCTACAGCGTCGGAGAGTTGTTTTTCGAGCGAGATGAGGTTGCCGTACTTGAGCTCCGCCGCGCGGTTGAGGTCGTAGTCGCGCTCGGCCTGCCCGATCTCCACGTTCACGCGGTCCACCTCTTCTTTGATGCTCTGGATGCGCGACATCACGGATTTCTCGCGCTCCCACTGCTCGGTCAGCTCGGCCTGGCGGGACTTGAGAGCCTTGAGCTCGTTCTCCAGCCGCTCGTACCGCTCGCGGGACAGCCTGGCGGGGGCGGAGGGAGGCGGGGGGGAATGGGGACGGGGTGGTGTGGAAAACAGCAGTCTGTCAGTGGGGAGCAGCGGATGGCGCGCTGGGCAAAGGTTGATGAGCAACAAATTGAGCTGGTTCAGACTAGTCAACAAGGGCGGACAGCGTCAGCAGGATCAGCAGCATCAACAGAGGCTAAGGGAGCCAAGCAGTGAGGGCACCTGTCGGTGTCGTTGCCGAGGGAGAGGCGTTCCATCTCGAGTTTGAGCAACAGGGTGAACGGGGTCAAGCAGAGTCAAGCAAAGGTCAAAGGGGTCAACAAGGGCGAGCAGCGCACCTGTCAGTGTCATTCCCGAGGGAGAGGCGTTCCATCTCGAGTTTGAGCACGGCACGGTCCACCTCGTCCAGCGCAGTGGGCTTCGATGTGATCTCCATCTTGATCTTCGCTGCCGCCTCGTCCACCAGGTCGATGGCTGCATGCGTCATGGATGAGGAAAAGGGGGGGAATCAAGACGCGTGATGGATTCTCCACCAGGAGGAGAATTGGAGGTAGCAGGGAAGAATCCTTACCACAGGAGCTAAGAGACCAAAGATGCTTACTAGCTAACCACACACAATCCCACGTCCCGAACCCTTCCCAGAGAGCACCCACGCAAGGAAGCCAACACGTACCTTTATCCGGCAGGAAGCGGTCGGAAATGTAGCGATCCGACAGGGTAGCCGCGGCAACCAGCGCATTATCACTGATGTGCACTCCGTGGTGCAGCTCGTATCTCTCCCTGAGCCCTCTCAGGATGCTGACAGTGTCGGGCACGGACGGCTGCCCCACGTACACCTGCCTACTGAGCCACTGTCCACTGAAACCAACGCCCCCCGCCCTCATGCGCACCTTTATCCGGCAGGAAACGGTCGGAGATGTAGCGGTCAGAGAGAGTGGCCGCAGCAACCAGCGCGTTGTCACTGATGCGCACTCCATGATGCAGCTCGTACCGCTCCCTGAGCCCTCTCAGAATGCTGACGGTGTCCGGAACGGACGGCTGCCCCACGTACACCTGCTGGAAGCGGCGCTCCAACGCGGGGTCCTTCTCAATGTGCTTGCGGTACTCGTCCAGCGTGGTGGCTCCAATGCACCTCAGCTCGCCGCGACCCAGCATGGGCTTTAAGAGGTTGCCCGCGTCCATGGCTCCCTCGCTTGCACCTGGGAGGGGAATGGGAAGAGGGGAGCGAAAGGCGAGGAGGGGGAGGTAAGGAAAGGAGGTTAGGGAAGGAGGGGAGGGAAAGGGAGGAATGGGGGCTTAGGACGAGGAGGTGAGGTGGGGGAGTGCGGAGAAGAGCACTCAGCAACGCCACTTGCCGGCACCAACGACTGTGGGATCTCATCAATGAAGAACACTACGCCACTCACCCTCTCACCACCGCTCCCTCACAACCATCCAATGACCCTCATCCGCGCACTCACCTCACCCCATCCACTCACCAGCGCCAACAACGGTGTGGATCTCATCAATGAAGAGAACAATGCCGCCGTTGCTGTCTGTGACCTCCTTGAGCACCGCCTTGAGCCGGTCCTCAAACTCGCCCCGGAACTTGGCTCCCGCGATCAGCGCTCCCATGTCCAGCGAGATCAGCTGCAACACGTTAGCGGACGGAAAAGGGGAGAGAGAGAAGGGAAGGGGAAAAGAACATGAGGAGTAGGGAGAATAGCAAGGGGCGAAGGGGCTAGGAGTGATGAAGAGACGTGGTGGTTGTCATGAGGTGCTGGTGTGTGTGACGGCATGAAGGAGGGCTACACGACGAAGGGAAGGAGAGGAGGAGGGCCGAGGGGATGGAGAGATGGCGGTGGAGAGAGCAAGGCAAGATGGGTGGCAGCGGTGCGATGATGGCACCTCCGCACGTTACATGTGGGGTGGCGGTAAAAGTAGCTGGATATTCTAGGCTGGGCAGCCGACAGGCATTCATAAGCTGCATGTATGCAAGCAGGCGGGCAGGAGCAATGGTGACTCACCCGGCGGTTGATGAGCGCCTCTGGCACGTCTCCCTGCACTATGCGCTGCGCCAAGCTGCTCACAGCACACGAAGAGACAGACAGGGCCGTGGGAGGGAGTGAGAGAGACGGAGGAGGTGAGTGCTAGTGGAGCAGTGGAAGCGAGAAGGTGCGAGTGCAGGGCACAGACGACGCAGGTCACACGTGGCATCAAGACCGCTCCATGAGATCATGGTGGGAGCGGCGGCACTGAAGAGGAATGACAGCAGCGTCCCGAGACGACTCCCCCATCCCTCACACGTACCAACCCACACACGCCACTCACCCCTCGGAAATAGCGGTCTTGCCGACGCCAGGCTCGCCGATGAGCACGGGGTTGTTCTTGGTGCGGCGGGACAGGATCTGAATGCACCGGCGGATCTCGTCATCTCGCCCCACCACGGGGTCCAGCTTGCCCTGCCGCGCCATCTCCGTCAAATCGCGCCCGTACCGCTCCAGCGCCTCGTACTTGTTCTCCGGCTCTGCACCACGGCGAGTGAACGGCAGGGGAGCGGGGAGCGAGGGAGAAGGGGTATGATGGGAACGCGGAGAGGGGAAGGGTGTGCAAGGAGAGGACATCTGAACGGGCTCAGAATGGACCTTTTTGCTACAATCCACCGTGCAATGCAGTGCGGTGCGGGCACTCACGTTGGTCGGTGACCTTCTGCGAGCCGCGCACTTCCGCGACGGCCTTCTCCAGCGCCGCCTGCGACAGCCCCGCGTCGCGCAGCGCCTTCTCGCCGAAGCGCCGGTCGCCGCAGAAGGCGAGCAGCAGGTGCTCGATGGACACGAACTCGTCGCCCATGCTCGCCTTAAAGCCCCGCGCGCGCTCTATCAGCGCCTCCAGATCGCGCCCCAGCATCTGACTCGAGTCGCCCGATACCTGGGGAGAGGGGGAGGGGAGGGGGAAAGGGAGGGCGGTAGCGGGTGGGAGAGGAAGGGGGGTTGTGCTGGTGTTTGAAGCGGAAGGCGCAAGGAGAGAAGAAGGAGAAGAGAGGGTGGGGGAAACGGAAGGCGCGTGGAGCAGTGAAGGGGCAAGAGTTCGCGCGGGGAGCACGCGTCGCGGCGGAGCACGCAATCGGGCTGCCGGCGACGCACGACGAAGGACGCACCTTGGGTTGGCGCGCGATGTAGCGGTCGGTGGCGGCGAGCAGCTCCGTGCCGTCGCTGCCGGCCTTGGCGAGGATGCGGCGCGCGAGGCCGTTGCGCTGCTGCAGCAGCGCCTTCATGAGGTGCTCCGTCTCCACGATCTGCTGCCGGCTCTCCTTCGCCACCTCCGGCGACGCGATTATCACCTGCCACGCCGCCTCCGTGAACTCGCCCTGGCTTATCTGCGCGCGCCACGTGCGGGGGAAAGGGGGAAGGGTTGGGAGGAGACGTCAAAAGCCGGACAGAAGTAGGGAGAGTGGGGGGGCGCGGACAGAAGTAGATGCGTATCGAACAGCGAGCTGCAAAGCCGCGTTATATACACGAATAGACAACTAATAAGTAAACACCAAACGAACGCACAAACAAGCACAATAACACGTCACGCGCGAACGCAGTAATGACGGGACTAAGGCAGGCGGTTTCTCAGAGCCTGCTTAACCCTAGAATTCTCAGAATCTGATCTCTGCTCATAGACTCACCCTCCCTCCGCTGGCGGCAGCGCGGCACGGTGCAGAGCGGTGGAAGCGCCGTCGAGGCGCCACTCCTGGCGAGTGTGCTAGGGCTGGCGACAGGGGTCGCCCGCTGAAGTGTCGCAGCTGCGAGTTGACGAAATCCGACGAAAGTTGAGTAGAGGAGCCAGACGACGCTGCGCGAACGCCATGCGACGCAGACGGCGACACGTGGCAGCGTGTCAGTAGCTGCGGACCGACGCGGGAGAGAGAGCGAAGAGTCGCGACGGGAGTGCGTCGGGGATGCAGGCGAAGCGCTGCTGTTGGCGCCACCTGCCGTGAGGCAGCGAGACGAGCAGCGACGGTATCCATGACGCGAGGCACGCTGCGGTTGGCAAGTCGCACGAAACTGGCTGCGGACATGTATGGTAAGACTAGGAAACTTTGCTCGAAGGCAAATTTGTTGGGAGCAGTCAAGGTAGAGAGCAAATTTGTTGGCGCTAGAGGCAACTTGGAATGGAACAGCTCGTCACAGAACACAGATCTGACGTTGGAAGGCGAAATTTATAGATGCTCACGAAAAGGGGGAGGGATGAAGTAACAGAGAGTATTCGGTTCGCTCGCTTGCGCCTCACGCATTTCTCTGCGCGCCCGCGCAGCAAAACAGGCGGACGGGGGGGAAGGCGGAGCACAGAGCAGAAGTGGCCATGCCACGTGTCGCATAATCCATCCACGTGGAGACCGGAGAGTTCGACATTGTCGTAGATCCTTCGCGAAGGCGGCGTTGTTGCAAAAGAGAATTAAAGAATTGGAGATATTGAGCTGTGACAAGTGTTTTGACTTGAAAACTCGTAACTAATGTTTGTGTTTATCCAGTCTTCCACATCACCTATTTCTCAAAAGTAAGGATCTGTTGTGTCAATATACATTATGGCTTTCAATGCTGTAAGTCATGGACGGAGATAAAATACAGAAAAAACAAATGTTTTAGAGAGAAAGGTCATTTTCCTGGTTTGTCATTTGGTAGCACAATCTGGAAATTTTCATCAATAAAAGTTGCTATGATTGGACCAAACTCGGCAACTCTATGACGTAATGTGTCATCTTTTCTCGGATATCTCCGCGGGTTCCGTCATACCTCAACTGCTATCGCACCACCCACCTTCGACCACTCAACCTCATAGGGAACCGTTACCACAACTTAGCCTTGCGTCAGAGTAGCGCCGGCCCACGCTTTTCACTTCTCACTTCCCGCAGTCTGCGATCGCCGCACCCCTGAAAGGGCGCCCGCTTCTGACAGGGTCAGCGCCCCCGCAGCGATGGCGCTGGCGCAGCAGCGGCGCGCCGCGGTTCTGTCGTACCCGCCGTTGAAACGGCGCGGCCCGGCGGGGTCGCTGGCGCGCGTGATCGGCGACGACGGGCTCCGCGCAGACGGACGGTCGCTGGAGGAGAGCCGCGCCGCGTGTGAGTGCACGCGACCCCTATCCCCACTCACTCCCCTATCCCCTCCCCACTCACTCTCCTATCCCAATCACTCGTTTTCCTCTTCATCAGTCCCTTTCAACTTTCCCCTATTGCCCTCTCCTTCTCCCTCGTCCCTGCCTTCCTGTCCTGTGTTCTACCCTCGTCACCTCTCCGCCCTCTCATCCACTGGGGTACATGGCGGATTGCACACGGCATGGTACCCCAACATATCCCACCTTGCTTCTTTTTATCTCCCTCTTCACCTTGCTCCCTCACCGTATGGCTCCCTCGCATTGCTCTCCGGCGGACCCCAGCCCTCCCTGCCACTCCTTGTCCCATCCCCCCCACTGGCCACCTCTTGTCCCGATTCCCTCTCCCCTTCTCACCCCCACTCTTCCCCCCGCCCCTGGAACCCCGTACAGTCCTCAAGGCAAAGACGGTCACACAAGCGGCAGGGTCGGCGTATGCAGAGTTTGGCAACACCAAAGTGATTGTTTCAGTGTGAGTGGGGGGATGTGGTAATCTGGCGTGAATGTTCTGTTCTTCTCTGCTCTGCTCTGCTCTGCTCTGCTCTGCTCTGCTCTGCTCTGCTCTGCTCTGCTCTGCTCTGCTCTGCTCTGCTCTGCTCTGCTCTGCTCTGCTCTGCTCTGCTCTGCTCTTCTCTGCTCTGTTCTGCTCCGCTCTGCTCTGTTCTGCTCCGCTCTGCTCTGCTCCTCTCTGCTCTGCTCTGCTCCGCTCTGCTCTGCTCCGCTCTGCTCTGTTCTGCTCTGTTCTGCTCTGTTCTTCTCTGTTCTGCTCTGTCCTGTGGGATTGCACATCTCTGCTCTGTCTCTTGGACTCTCCGTCCGTCTCTTCCAACAACGTCGAGGGAGGCTTGCAAGCCAGCTGGCTCGTGACCAGTCAATTCAACTCTTTCTGTGAAGGAGGGAGCTCTTGTGAGAGGTCTAGCCAGACAAATGCAAGTACGGTCTGGCACATACACTATCTGCCGTATTGACATTCCACACGCCCCACTTCTATCCCCCCACTGCTGATTTATACATCTGTCCTGTCGTTTCCCCTCTTATCCCCTTCGTTACCCCTCTCCCCTCCTCTCCCCTCCTCTCCCCTCCTCTCCCCTCCTCTCCCCTCCTCTCCCCTCCTCTCCCCTCCTCTCCCCTCCTCTCCCCTCCTCTCCCCTCCTCTCCCCTCCTCTCCCCTCCTCTCCCCTCCTCTCCCCTCCTCTCCTCTCCTGCCCCTGCCCCATGTGCAGCTTTGGCCCAAGGGAGAGTCGCAAGGCGGAGCAATCGGTGGGGGGGAAGGGGCGCCTCAAATGTGATGTCAGAATTGCACCCTTTGCCACGCCCAACCGGAACAGCAGCACGCAGGTAAATTGTCACAGTTGCCACGAGGTTCACAGTAGCAGTCATGTGTTTTGCAAGGGTATTTTCAGAGAGCCGCTACAATGGAAACCACTTTTCACTATCTCCCGTAAGCCATGTTGCCACGCATGCAAAGTATCATGTATCATGACCCATGACTGCACAGTATCATGTATCATGACCCATGACTGCACAGTATCATGTATCATGACCCATGACTGCACAGTATCATGTATCATGACCCATGACTGCGCAGTATCATGTATCATGACCCATGACTGCGCAGTATCATGTATCATGACCCATGACTGCGCAGTATCATGTATCATGACCCATGACTGCGCAGTATCATGTATCATGACCCATGACTGCGCAGTATCATGTATCATGACCCATGACTGCGCAGTATCATGTATCATGACCCATGACTGCGCAGTATCATGTATCATGACCCATGACTGCGCAGTATCATGTATCATGACCCATGACTGCGCAGTATCATGTATCATGACCCATGACTGCGCAGTATCATGTATCATGACCCATGACTGCGCAGTATCATGTATCATGACCCATGACTGCGCAGTATCATGTATCATGACCCATGACTGCGCAGTATCATGTATCATGACCCATGACTGCGCAGTATCATGTATCATGACCCATGAACCATGGCTCAACTCATTGCTGCCACACATGACCCATGAATGCATGCTGTTTACAGGGAGCAGAGGAGCGGTTAGCAAGCGAGGTGGAGAGTGCGCTACTGCCGGCTATTCAGTTGCACCTCTTCCCCAAGGCCACGCTTGACGTCTCGCTGCTGCTGCTGGAGTCTGGCGGAGGTGAGACCACACACGCTCAGAGCACACCATGTGGAAACAAGGTGAAAAACTAGGTGGTAACCATGTGGTAAGCAGTTTCGGTTGCACCTCTTCCCCAAGGCCACCCACGACGTCTCCCTGCTGCTGCTGGAGTCCGGTGGAGGTAAGGCCTTGCTGTGTTGAATGGAGACGGAGCTACTCGTACGCTTTCCTTCCCGGCCCCGACATCCCCTTCCCATTCGATCCCGTCTTCTCCGCCCGTTCCTTGCTTCGCACTAATTGCTCTCTTCCACCCATCCGCCTGCCTGCCCTGTGCTGTGCCACCACCAGCTGACGTGGCAGTGATGATCACAGCAGCGTCCATGGCGCTGGCAGATGCAGGCGTGCACCTCAACGACCTGGTTACTGCATCGGTTGTGGTGAGCGTAATGCAGTGTTAAGGAGTTCAGGGTATATTGTTCACTAGGTTCAGTTGGGTTTATGATCTTTGCAAGTGAGCTGCCTTTGAAATTCTCAGCCCTGCTAGCATGTCACTCCAGCTGGGCACGTGCCATCTGTCATGTGCGCACACACTGTTGAGTTCCCTGGTCGCATCCATCTCCACGAGGATGTTAGCCAACCAAAGCACAGCATCTTGTGTCTAGTCTCGCCCGTCTCTCATGCATTTCCAACTGGAATCCTCACCTATCTCTCATGCACCACTCACCATCCTTCCTGTTCTTGCTCTCCGCACCTACGTTCCTCCCTTCCCGGCCTCCTCTCCAACATCAAATCAGAGCATCTGTCGTGGCGACCTACTATTGGACCCCAGTTCTAAGGAGGAGCGGGTGGAGGAGGGGCGGGTGGTGGTGGCGCTGATGCCATCACTAAACGAGGTGGTGCTGTGCAATGTCACCGGGAACATGTCGGTCAAACGAGTCAATGAAGCGGTGGAGCTGGGTATTGCTGGGTGCATGAGACTAGATGAAGTGTTACGAGCTACACTCAGGGACGAAGCAGCAGCTGCTTTAACATGACAATGGGACTGATATGGTCTGATACAATAACATCTGCCGATGTATTCTTATACAACGGTAGTGCAAATCAAAGGATCCGTGCATCCATGGTGCTGTGTGAGTCAGGCATACGCGATGTCACATTGGCAATCTTGCAGTGTTGTTTCATCCAATGACAAACTGAAGCATGGTCTTCTGATGGACATGCATGCTTTACTGCTATTCTGACTGCTGTGTCTGCTGAAGCTGTGTGGCAGGCTGAAGTACAATGCTGACGTTTCCTTACCACGCCTGTTTCACAAACATCTTGCTTCCTTACAAAGTTACAAATTTACGAATTATTATACAAGCCTTCACACATTGTAATACATGCCAGTGAAGACAGCTAGCAATACATATACTATCCTATCTATCTAGACAGAAAGTAACAGAGGCCTCTTGGAGGCCTCAATTGTGCTGCCTTACTAGAGCCAACTGAACGACCTTCTCTATATCCCCTGCCGAGTCTCTCCTCCCCTAGTGCCGTGTGCTGATAGTTCCATCTTGATCAAGAGGAATTACAGCAGCACATCCGCTTCCTCCCTTCTCCACGATCTCACTGCCACCACCCTCCTGCTGCTGCCAGGTTTCGGAATCAGAGACGGCAGCAGCCTTGCTTTAGCTCCTCCAATCCTCGTCTCTGGCTTCTTGACTCCAGTTGATCCCCACATCCGTGCAATCATTCTCGCGAGTGTAGCCATGGCTTCCGAGCTCAACACAGGGCTGCTCGCAGCACTGCTGTTCGCCATGCTGCTGGCGTCGCCTGGAGCATCAATTTCCGCCATTTTGTCGTCACAGCATGTGACATCACTCACGCCGGTAGCTGTAGTGCTGAACTGGGTCCGAGTGTTGATGCAGCTGCTGTCACCAATACTGTGGATTTCTTCAGCCTCGCTGCAGACAACGTCAGTGATGGCATCAAAGCACCTGTTTTCGTCGATGGTGTCATTGTAGCTCACGTCACTGACGTCACTGCAGCTAACGTCACTGACGTCACTGCAGCTAACGTCACTGAAGTCACTGCTGCTGGTTGTGCTGAGAGGCACCATGGAGTCAATCTCCAAGGTGGGAGTGCTGGAGACGTCGCTGCACGTGCTGCTCGGCTCAGATTCGTCCTGCACGTCAGCAGGCAAGCTTGAGGAAGCCAGCGGCACATGCACTGGTGTCCGGCTGCTTCCATCCTCCTGGAGCTTCCAGAAGGCAAGAGCTTGAGAATACGAAGGGTAGTTGGAAACAGCCATTGGAGACTGCAGATAGTCCGGGCAACAAAGTTATTGGAGCGTTCACGAGAGTTAAAGCTGTCAGAACGGGATAGCTGAAGGCACAGGGATTGAACAAACTGAATCACCTGAACTGGAAACGACTTGTCGGGGTTGTGGTTTTATATGTGAGACGGAGTGGGTTCATCAGGCACAGGAGGGAGGTGTGTGGGGAGAGGGAACATTATGTTTGGGCAGAAAAAGGGTTTCCTGAGCGGCTCCGCTGTTGTGCAATCTACGCTGGCCATGCTGTCCGATGGCGTTCCAAGTGAATCCGTCGGTGGAACGAATTCTACGGAGGCTCGGCTTCGGGGTTGTGACCCAGGAATCATCTCTTTCGCGGCACACGATAAAAATTTCTCCACCCTCTGCTTCCCTGCCCACTCCTATCCCTGAGACAGCGGGGCTGCCCGGGACAGATGACGCGGTTTGCTGAACACAAGGGGGAATGGCTCCACCTCAAATGTCGGAAATTTGTGCCCGCCCGAAATGTGTGGGGAGGGTGACATGCCAGAGCCAGCGAGAAAAACTCGCAGTGGCGGAAACTCGCCACGCCACCCCCCGCTTCATTGTCTCCTTTCTCCGCTGCGACAGCGCGGCTGCCCGGGACAAATCATGCGGTTCGATGAGCACAACAGGAAAATTCCTCCTCAGATGTCGAAAAGCAAATCCCCAAGGTCAAAGCTGATCCGAAATGCGTGGGAAGGGTAACATGACATGCTAGAGCCAATGAGAACAAATGTGAGGACGTGGAACGGGTTACAAGCAACGCTAAGAAAGCGGTGGCGCGAGGTAATTGAAAATCGATTGTACAACCGCATGCAGTTCTCACGAATCTCCACGTCCCACCGCCAAGCACTCATGCCCAAGATCGAGGTTGTGATATCGGTACCCACAGATGTTCCCAAGAGCAAGTGTTTGTTGACTGACAGGAGGATCTGCTCCTGTGGCGAAAATTATCAGGAGAATGTGTACTCCATATTTCGTCCATTTGTGTCAAACATGAGGCCTTCATAGTAAGCCGTTGTTTGCAGCTGGCAATCAAAAACTGTATACTGGAATTTCTTCCAAACCATTAGCATCAGAAGGTTCCACACATCAAAAAGCCCAGAACACGAGGACACTCATTCCACCCAGCACATGCATTGGCAAGAAGGCTGGACAGAAGCACGCCATGCTACATGACACGAGAGAGGATAGGCGGGGGGTGAAAATGAGAAGGGGCACCAAACCGGCACATGAGGTGAAAATGAGAAGGGGCGAGAGAGGATAGGCGGGGGGTGGGGGATGGGTGGTGGGGAAAGCTCAATGGTGGAAGTCCGAAGAGAGTAGGAGAGGGAGGAGAGGGAGGAGGAGGAGGATGGGGAGGAGGGGGAGCAGAGGGACAAGAGGGAGGAGAGAGAGGCTGAGGACGCCTCACATGGGGCAATAGGTCGTCCAATATCGATCTACCACCGCGCTGTAATCACGCTCATTGCATCCAAACTTTCAGAACCTGTTACAACCGCGCCGATTATCGATCCTAGGGATGATTGATCCTGGCCATGTGACGTGTCCTGAGCTCACCACAAGTCTTCACTCCACGGACACCCTCGCGAATCGAGGGTGCTTTTGGGACGTCTCAAAAGCCATTTTGGCAATGTGATGTGGCCTGAGCTCACCACAAGTCGTGGCTCCACGGACAGCCACGCGGCCTCCTCGGTGCTGCGGGCCTCCCGCAGCCTGCCTCGCCCCGCCGCTCCTTGCAGAGCAGCATGTTGGGCGCGCAGGCTGGACGGAGGAACACCACGGCTCCTGGCAGCTCCACTATGTGCACACCCTTGTTGACGTCAGTATGTGCGTCAGCAGGGGAGGGGATGGGGTTGGCGTGGTGGTCGGTGGAGGGTTGGGAGAGGAGCGCGCTGCTGATGGCGTGGATGGGCTGACCTGAGAAGAGCTGTGGAGGGAGGGGGAGGGAGCGGGAGGGGGAGACAGGGAAGGAGAGAGAAAAAGGCACCTGTGAGGTGTCTGCATGTTAAAGGATTTGTGCTGCGTTTCAAGGCACACAGATGGCATACGTGGGACACGGGACGCGTGAGAACAAAGAAGTTCATGTGGCAGAAGTGAGGGCAGAAGGTCATGTGGCAGCAGATTAAGGCAAGCGTTCCTTTGCACAGCACTCTCGCACATTTAGACATACATTTGTGCACCCACAGATACCAACACACAGATGCCACACACATAATACCTCACACATACCTCACACATACCTCACACATACCTCACACATACCTCACACATACCTCACACATACCCACACATACCCACACATACCCACACATACCTCACACATACCCACACATACCGACACATACCTCACACATACCCACACATACCCACACATACCCACACATACCCACACATACCCACACATACCCACACATACCTCACACATACCCACACATACCTCACACACATGCCTCACACATACCCACACATACCCACACATACCCACACGTACCTCACACATACCCACACACATACCACAAACTACCACTTACATACCCACACACATACCACACACACTAACACTTTGACATGAATCTACACACACCCTCACACACAAACAAACTCACATCCAGACCCATCCTTGAACACACACACGCATACAAACACACCCACTCTATCGTGCACGCGGGGGTGCATCCACTCTGGCAGGATGCAGGCGAGGGAGAGCGCCTGCTTGGCCACCAGCGACAGGTACACCACCGGCACTCCCACGCCCACTGCGGGTGCTGGCGTTGCTGCTGCTGACAGCCATGAATTTGCTGCTGCTTCTGCTGCTGCTGCTAAGTGTGCTGGCGGAGCTGGTGATGATTGGGGGGGCGAGAGCAGGGCGAGCAGCACGTCCAGGGAGGGCCCCAGCGGGGAGCACGGCACCACCACTCGCCCTCCCTGCGCCACCCGCTCTGTAATCACCTGCACAACGCCTTCAACGCCCTCACACACCGCACTGCACCCCGCACCATCCACACCATTCCCTGCACTCGCCCCTTCCCTCCCCTCCCTCGCACCGCCTCCTCTATAGTTGCATGCCACTTCCGATCCTCGCATCCCATCCCTCCCGACCGTCACGCTCACATGCCCACACGACTCACGGGGCGTCTCACTCTCCGCCCCGCCACCTCTGCCCTTCCATCTGCCCTGCAATCCCACCTCACTAACCCACCTTCCTCCACCCCACGCCCTGCCAGCATGCCCCTTCCTCCCCTCCACATCCATGTCCCTTGGCTTCCTCCCTTCCTTGCCGCCTGCTGTCCGTGTGTGGCTGTCGGCAGAGCTGGCTGACGTGGGCCCACACAGAGCTGCCACGTGGCAAGCTCTTATTGGCTCCAGCTGGGGTGGAGCAGCGACAGTGGCGTAGGGCAGGGGCGGGAAGAGGAGGGCGAGGTGGCAGCTGATGGGAGGGGGAGAGGCGGAAGGGGAGGAGCTAGAGGCGAGGGGAGTGGCAGAGGCACCAAGAGAGGGATGTGAGAGGGATGAGGCGGGTTCTTGAGAGGACGGGTATGAGGCAGGGAGAGAGGTGTGCCGGTGGCAGGTGTGGGAGGGCGAGTGGGCGGAGTGAAGGAGCGACCAGGAGGCAGAGCCAAGTGGACCACCCGAGGCAGATGCAGTGGCAGTCACGCCTGGCCCCACACTCACCCTCTCTCCCCACCTCACTCCCCTCACGCACGCTAACGATGCCAGCTCCTCGCCCTCACTGATGGCATAGATGAGGAAGACGGAGGGTGGGAATGGTGGGGCGGAGGAGGGGAGGTAGGGAGAGGAGGGAGAGAAGAAGACGGGCGATTGGTGGGAGAAAAGAGCAAGGAGTTTTAGGGTGAGATCTTGTAGTGACAGCAACTGGGTGGTGATGGCAGGGAGGCGAGCGAAGCGCAACACCTCCTGTGAGGCATGTGGCTCAGTGGCAGGGGACGACAAACGTGTACCTATGGGCACATGTGCAGCTGGGTGAGCCAGAGTGAGCTGAGCAGAGCGTGTGCACTTTTTGATGATGTGGCTGTGGTGATGCAGGGGAGGGCGGATGGGAAGGCAAGGAGATGGGCCATCGTGAGAGTGCATCACCATGCAGCATGAGGTGAAACAGAAGCAGAAAGGCGGTGCTGTATTGTAAGCTTTGGAGCGGGGCTAGCATGGCAGGTGCGGCGAGCATGGCAGGTGTGGGATCAGGCATGGGCATTGCAGCAGGGCGCACCTCAGGAAGGAACAGGCGTCATCTGCACCCTCCTCCAGCACGCCCCTCCCCTGCTCCAGTGCCGCCCTCTCCTTCACCGCCAGCCTGGCGATGCGCAGAGCAGCCTCCGTGCACACCACCTGCGTGCACAAGGGCCAACGGGCGAAGGGCGGTGGTGCGAAGAGGCAGAAGGGCAAGGGAGAGGTATTCAAAGCACGGTGGACGCTGCCAGTGCGCAGAGCAGCCTTCGTGCACACCACCTGCGGGCACACAGGGCCAACGGGCGAGGGGGCGTTGAGGGAGCGAAGGGGCGAATGGAGGGGTGGAAAGCACGGTGGACGCTGTCGCGCCAAGCGCGTGGGCTGCTGGCCTCAAACAGCCAGAATGGGCGCTGGGCGGCAGGCAGGCACGATAGGCAGAAAGAGGCGGCTAAGTTACGGTGCTTTTTTTGGGAAGGCAGAAGATCATTCCGACCATCCAGCACGACTCTGCAGGCAATTAACATATGTTGGGGGTTATTTCAGACGATCAACATGCACATTCTTCAGGGGAGGTGGGTGGCTGTCGCACACCTTGGGGGGAGGGCGGTGGGCGTGGTGCTGGCGGTGATGGTGCAGCAGCACAGGCAGGCCCGGAAGGCCCTCGGGGCTCGAGATCAGGATGGCGTCCACGTCAGATGCTGCTGACGTGGCAGCGAGCGCAAATGGCAGGGCAAGAGTGCGATGACAAGTTGACTCAGAGGAGGGCAGGGGGATGGATAGGCGCACACCGGGACATGGCGAGATGGACGCACGGGCATGAGTATGGGCGTGGGTATGGGCGTGAGTATGGGCGTGAGTATGGGCGTGAGTATGGGCGTGGGTATGGGCGTGAGTATGGGCGTGAGTATGGGCGTGAGTATGGGCGTGAGTATGGGCGTGGGTATGGGCGTAGATATGACCATGGGCGTGGGTGTGGTGATGGTTATGGCCCTGCTGATGGTCAAAGGTACGACCATGTGTCTGGGTGAACGCTGCGCTACGCTTCCCCTCGTCCCCATCCCCTCTCTGCCTCTTCCCACTGCTGTCCACACCACAGCCATCACCACCCCTCTTCTTGCCCTTGCCCCTCGCATCCACCCCATTGCCGTCCCCATTTCTGCCCCCATTGCCGTCCCCATTTCCGCCCCCATTGCCATCTGCACGGCTGCTTGGCCCTCTCATTGACCCACCACACACCGAATCTGCTCTGCCTCCACTCGCCTCCGCCTCTGCGCCGCCAACGCTCCCACCCTCTCTCCGCTTTCCTTCCTCCTCCCTCTCCGCCCCCTCGCCTCGCCCCTCCTCGTCCAATTTCTGCCCGTCTCCGCCCGTCTGCCGGTCAGCCAAGCACATGCACACCCTGCGTCTCCACCGAACCTCGCGTCTGTGTGCCAAACCTGACCTCGAGGCTCGGCAGCCATGCCGATGCAGCAACGCCAGAGCCGGGGGGAGGAAAGCGCCCGAGCCGGCTGCTCCGGGATGGTCGCGAGGTGCGTCTGTTGGGCATGTGGATCGGTCTGAACCTGCAGGTTCGGGCTGGTCCAGAGCAAGTGCTGCAGGAGGTTTCGTCGTTGCGTCATGAAAAGCTACATCTGCGGTGGCAGCAGCAGCAGCAGTTGCGGGGATAGGAGCGGCCTCAGCATGCGGGAGTGGCGGGCGGCAGGCGACGCGAGGTGCGTCGAAGCGAGCGGAGTCGGTGGGCGCGCGTGGCGAATGCTGCGAGGCGCGCGGAGAGCGGCAGCGAGAGTCGGCGCTTTTGTCGACGGGCCGAGGGTCCGTGGAACTCTCTCGCTTGGCCGAACGGTCTAGCTTTTTAGGTGAATCTCGCAAATGTGATAACCTTGCGGATGGGGTGGGGGGATACAGCAAGCAGGGCATGGTGTCTAGCGGGCAGTCTAGGAGAACGCGAGAGCCGTGGAACTCCACAAGCGCGCTGAACGGCGCTGCCATGGCGGCCGAGGGTGTATTGCGAGAATCCGATTGAGTAGGAGCTGTACATTCATTTTGCAAGTGATATATTGAGATAAGGAATTGCTTGTTTTACAAAGAATCAGTTCATTGACGGGTATGATTCGTTGAACCCCCTGGAAGGCGGAATGCCTCGGCGAATATCTATTTTCGGTTCGGTGGTGGCGCGACCCCGTTTCGTTGTGTGCAAATCTGCCTTCGGCCATGACCCATGAGTGGGTTTACCCTTCAAACCCAATCCCACCATTGCAAATGCCCAACGAAACGTTGCAAACCGAACTGCAAAATGTTGTTGCGAATTACCGCCAAACCCGCACAAGGATGGTGGAGGTCCCGGTCTGGTGGGCTTGAGCGGAAGCCCCACCACACGAAAACGTTGCGCAACCCCGAACCTAGCAGGGTTACCTGAGTGAGGCACGGAAGGCAGAGAGTTCCTCGCCGCACCTGAGCAACACACCACCGCGTCCTGTGGCGACCTTTGTTACCTGCGCGACAACAAGACGTAGGTGACGCCAACACCTGCCTCGGGGCGCCATTGCATCAAACCACACACCCAAATCCCCCCATTGTGATTGCGGCCCGCAACACACCACCCAGACATTTCGCCATCGCAAACAGCAGGCTGGCGCACCTGAACTGAACTGAACCCATTCAAATGAGTTCCACAAGCGGTAGTCACCGCCTGAAATGGGATCTGGCAGTCGGCGCGCCTGCGCAAGACGGAATAATCTGGCGATGGGGAAGCGATAAGTACATGGCGGAAACGACTAGGAGTGAACGCGCGGGCGGCGCAGTGAAAGTGAAGCGAGGGGAAGGCTCAGCTTGCGTAGCCCGACGCTATCCTGTCGTCCACGTCGTTATAAGTGCTATGGTTCTCGCGCTCACATCGTTAGCATTTGCTCCGATTAGCTCAATCCCTTATGCTGCGGCCGACGGTGCAGAACTAGCAGCGAGCTAAACACTTGCATTCGCTCATATTAGCTCCATCCCTAGTAGCAGTGCGACCGCCTTCCATCCTCAGTAGGCTCCACCTACCGACGGTATTTCTGAGAGGTCGAAACTTGCATATTCTCGAGCATCGCGCGGCTCCCGCCAGCCAGAGTCATGGCACAGGCGTCGTCACTCTCTCGCTCGCCTGTGCATATTCTTGACGTTACGATGCTCGCCGTCACCATCGCTGGTGAGCTCCCCCCGCGAATAGTACGCGCCGCGTCGCGCCTCCTCCTCTGCCACGTCGCCTCCGCGCCCGCCTCATGCTCGATTCGCGGCGATTGTATCGCACGTGTCGCAAAGAAAATACACTGAGTGTATTCGCATGCGCACACCGCATTCGCGGACCAGCCCGCGTCGCGCTTCCATTCCTTGTTGCCTCCGCACCTCATTGTACCTCCAAGTAAAATTCCCCGCTTTCCGCGCAGCCATTCACCTCACCGCGGTTATCTGTTTGCCCATGCTTTGCCGTACTCCCCCATCGTTTCCGTCTGCAGCCCTGCTCTCGCTTTTCCTCTTCGCCTCACCCGCCGGCACGCGCCGTATGCTGCGAGAGGGGACTGGCAGCATTGTGACTGTAACGACGACGATCACAACGAGCACCACCAAGAGCACCACTGTTAGCAACAGCACCACGTACGGCCCTGATGGCTCCGTTATAAGCACTGGCGGTGGCGTCACCACCACCACCGCTGGTGGGACCACAAGCACCCCCAGCGGGGGTAGCGCGAGTGGCAGCACTGGGAGCAGCGGAGGGACGAGCAACGGAGGGAGCGCGAGTGGAAATAGCACTGGATGGGGAGCGAGTGGAAATAGCACAGGGAGCAGCGGAGGGAGTTCGAGTGGGGGCAGCACTGGGAGCAGCGGAGCGAGCGCGAGTGGGGGCAGCACTGGGAGCAGCGGCGGGACGAGCAGCGGAGGGAGCGCGAATGGAAACAGCACTGAATGGGGCGCGAGTGGAAACAGCACTGGGAGCAGCGGCGGGACGAGCAGCGGAGGGAGCGCGAGTGGAGGCAGCACTGGGAGCAGCGGAGGGGCAAGCAGCGGAGGGAGCGCGAGTGGAAACAGCACTGGGAGCAACGGGGGGAGCGCGAGTGGAGGCAGCACTGAGAGCAGCGGCGGGACGAGCAGCGGAGGGAACACGAGTGGGAACAGCACTGGGAGCAGCGGGGGGACGAGCAGCAGCACGGCCATCAAGGGACCCACGAGGTGTGAGCTCACGCACATGAATCACTGCACTCAAATCACCTATTATCACCTATGTACCTCTATTCCTAGTGGGACCGCTTTCTGAAAGCCCATTCCTCACTCGCTGTCTGCCTTTGTCGCTCAATCCGTCGAGCTTTTTCTCTTGTGTGCCGCACTGCAGACCAAGCTACGTCAGATCTCAATCCGTATGGCGACACGAGCGCCAAGTTCAGCATTGATATCAACATGTACGTGCACTTTGACACCTTGTTGGGTGGGTCTCATCTTGCATCGATGTTGGTGGGTCTCATCTTGCATCGATGTTGGGTGGGTCTCGTCTTGCCTCGACGCTGGGTCTCACTCCAGCTCATACACAATCAACGCCTCCCAT